ATCAGCTTCTTCTTCAGATATTATTTCACCAGTATATTCGGCAATTAAATCACCCGGATATGCAATTGGTGAACCAAGAAAAGCTCCATAGCCAGCAACTAAAAAAAAAGGAAACATGGATTTTAAATTGAAAAAAAAGAAGCTAAAAATAACATTACCATCTGATTCTGCAACAAGAATTTGTTTATATAATTTTCTTTGTATTGAAATATTTGCACATGTAATCAGAGGCATAGGTGATGTGGTAATTGAATTTAATGATGTTCTTGAATTCATACGTTTTGTTTGGTTTCGAACTAATTTATATGATGGTTCCACAATTCGACATGATCGAAGACTATGTTGTCTTGTTGGTAAATTTTCATTGATTTTTGTTCGTGTATTTCTTCTCGATAATGATGATAAGGATTTTCTTTCGACTATTGTTGTTGTTGTTGTTGTTTCTGTTGTTATCACTTCTGGTTCTCTAAAAAAACATAAATAAAAAAAATTTGTCATTTGTTTCTTTTCTGTTTGTTGTCAAATTAATAGATTTACGATTTAATTATTGAATTAAAATCATCCATTACGTTAAGAAATAAAGATGCACCACATTTATGACATAGATCAGGATCACATTCTCGACCTTCAGCACAACATAAGCAATTATTTAATAAACATGCACCTTTACATGCACAACCCGGAAATCGATGTGGACAATCAATTGAACAATTACAATATTTTTCACAATATGTACCATTTTGTATACAAGAACAATTATGATTTGATGATATACATGGTCCATCATGTAAACATGGTTGATAAGCTGGTTTTAATGTTGTTGATTTTTGATTATTATTATTATTATTACTACCATTATTATTATTATTATTGTTATTATTATTGTTATTATTATTATTGCCATGTTTTTTTATGTGAAAAAGAAATGCACGTGTAGCACCTTCTAACATTTTTCGTCGATATGGTTGTCGTATTGAAAATGTTAAACTATTTTTTGATGATATGTGTTCAGAAAAATATTTTGCATCTAAGATAAATTGTTGATAAATATCTTGACATGTTCGATGATCATTAAATAAATGGTTAATTAAACATAAATCACCATCGAATACAAAATAAAATAAACGAAATAAACTACGATCTGTTAATGTCCAATTATTAGCTAAATTATTTTGTTGTTGATCTAAATTTTGACCTACTGGATTTAAATATTGATTTATCATATGATTTTCTATACGTGTTAATAATTGTTGAGATGAAAGTTTTTTTTGATTTTCAAGTAATTGAAAATGATAATGATCAAGACAAAGATCATTATGAAGATTTTCATTATGAGAAAAACTTAATTTACTTGGTGATGAATTATGATTTAATGAAATTGATTTACGTTGACGTTTTCTAACATTTTCAATTGATTCAGATGATGTTGAAATATGTGTGTGAGAATAATGATGTTGTTGTTCATTAGTATAAGATGGTGATAAAGAACGTTTTAAATGTTCTCGTTCATGCTTATAACATGTTAAACTACATGGTGATGATTGATTATCATTGGAGATGAAAACATGTTTTGGTAATGGAAGATGTGAAGGTTTCTCTGGGTGTAATAGACAACTATTTTAAATAAATAAAAAATATAATTAAAATTTTAGAATAAAAAAAGAATAGTCACCGAGGGCAAAAAAAAAACATCCGTAAGGTCTTGTAAGATTAGATAAAATCGTACGATAAGATTCTTGAAAGATTTTTCCTTCAAATAAGATTTCCTATAGTCTTATAGTGACGTATAACAAGACAACAAGATCTTTCAAAAATCTTATAATATGAACTAGCGTCAAGTTTTTGAGACTATGACTTTCGTTTGACTGTTTGATTCGAGCCTATTTTTATTTCGTTATGTTAGATAAATCTAGAAAAATTATCGAATATCAAAGAATTTGCACACTAGCTATCACAAATAGTAAATTTCTATATGTTTAACTTATGCAACAAAGAGAAGTTGGATCATTTTATTCGTGAATTCAATGGATTGACTCTTATCATTAACTATATTATTATTCTTCTTCATGTTAAAATCATTTTTTATTTTTTAATGTAGTCTTTTGATTCAATGCTTAACTATTTTTACTAGGTCTTTTATTATAATAGATGGGACAAGTTTTGTATTAACTTAGTTTTTGATATAGTGTTGTAATCCGATATTGTAGAGATTTCATACTTTTCTTTAACCAGAAAGAGAAAAATGTCGTGTGCATAAACGTATCATGTTACTCAAACACCACAAAAATTATTGGAAAACGCATTTCGAACTATTTTAATGTAGAGAAAATTCCACCTGCTAAGAAAGATTTTCTTGTGATTCATGTGTTCCTACATTTATGATGTAACCATGAGGTACTAATACTGTATCAAAAAACTAAATTCTACTTCCAGACAGACATCGTCAGAAGCTATAATTTTTCATGAAAAAAAAAGAAAATCTTATTCAATACTCTAATATGACACAACTCCTCTGTGAGATATACAGACTAAATATTCTTTTCGTGTTATAAGCACCCAATAGAGTTTTTAATTAAACTAATTATTATTCAGTTTCTTGTAGGCTACACTAATTATTCTAATATCATAAAAACGCCTTGATTATAACAAACAGGTTGAATATATATATATATATATATATACATTGCTTCAAAACATCGAAAATGGATAATGCAAAAAGGTCAAATAACTATAGTGACCTTCGAGAAATACTTCTAATTGAATTCCTTTATATATTCATGCACTTGATATCTACTTTTTCTAACAAAAAACAGAAGAATGAAATCTCAACAATATCGCATTACCATACGATAACACCAATAAAATAAATGCAAAACACATGCTTAGCCCATTGTATTTATGCTTACGAAACAGACAAAACACTTATCGTTTATAACCAATCAAAAATTTTTATCAATAATATCATATCAATCATAATCTTCAACGATAAGATCATCAGTCTTAACGATGAATTTATATCTTTCGAAATAAATCTTACTTATATATATAACAACGTGAACAAAATCGAGAACACCATGATTTAATAATCAGATTATCAATGTCAATATCTATTGTGTCACATGCATCAATATTTGCATGATGTCGATTATTATCATTTGAAGAAAGTTCACATCGATTAGCAAATTTAATAAGCCGTGTTCGTGATGTCGAATCACGATGATAATCTAAATAAAAATTTCTATGTGAATTCATTGAACTTTAACATATGTGTGTTTTTATCTTACGTATTATAGCATCAATTATTTGATCATTTGTATATGCTTTCCAAGCTTTACTTGATCGTATAGATTGATAAAGTGTTTCTAATAAATGTTCATCGAGTTTGTTTTCTAATTAAGAACAAAAACAAAACCAGTTAATCGAGAATAAAAATTGTAAAATATTCATACTACGTAAAGTAGTTTTATTTTGTTGTAATGGTTCACCGGATATTGAATTAATTAATTCTTGATCTTCATGATCAAATTTATCGCCTAAATATGGAATACCCGTAAGATCACCACGTGTAGCAATATTTTTCATAGTTGGTACATAAGATATTAATTCTCGAACGGAAGACAGTGATGGCATTATAATTGCTATTGTTGAATGTTTTTGTAATTTTTGATTAGCACCATCTGATATAATAACTGAGATAGTTCGAATATTATCATCATGATCTGTTGTTTTTGATTCTATGATAGATTCAGGAATAGGAAGTGTTATGGAACATGGCGGTGGATGTTGAACTACATGTCGAAAAATATGACTAAATGATAAAAAATAGATGCATAATATAGGAATTTATAATTAAGATAATTGATCAAGTCCATAGAAAAGATATTTTGCATATATATGAAAGAGGAAATGTGCTCAAAGGGTCAATCACTTTCTTACCGGAAGTTAGTGAATTTTAAGGTTATTGATCATGCTCATTCTAAATACGAGCATGAGAAGTCTCTTTAGGTATACATAAGTTGGTTTTTCAGATTAACAAAATTTTTGCCAAAAATTTGTTTGATGTGTTCAGCTTATAGAGTACGTCGAATTGCCAAGAAAAAAGTAATTGTTTTTGTTTCAATGATTTTGACAAAATATTTGTTACTCTAGAATACTTGCATATAAAAACCTCAGTGAAGAAAACTTATTGTCATATTTATAATCAGGATAGTTAATAATTCATAACCCATAAGTTTTTGATAAGAAAGCAATTGATCAGTAAAAAGAACGTTCCGTGGTCAATTAGAGCAAGTTTCATTCAATTGCAGAAATAATCTACAGATTGCTTCGGATATAATAAGTACGGTCCTTTGTTTTTCTATCATTAATGCAAAGCAAAATGTAAGTTATCTAGTTTTTTATCGATGCATTTAAAGAACATTATTTAAATGTTGTAGATTTACTAAATATTTGTTTACATATATTTCTTATCGATATTCATAAAAAAATGTTCAGATTTTTTTTCTAAAATCTTACCAAGCTGCTTTGTGTGCAGTTTTATATGTTTGACGATAGAGTTTTGTATATTCATGTTCAACAGCTTGTCGAAGAACATCTAGTTTTTTCTTTGAAGAAAAAAACCCAAAAATTAAAAATTTTCATTCAATTAAAAAATTCTTTTGTTTTTCTCTTCTTACATCATTCAACAATTGTTGTTGAGATAGATTATTGCTTTTCCTCGTTTCACGCATATATTTGTACAATAATTACTATCAAACAATTGTTCTAAAATAAAATCTACGATCTCTAAAATTTTCCATACAAGTAGAAAAAAGGCGAAATGTATTTGAATAGACCAATCAAAATAGAATATAAACATATTGGTTTAATGTACAATCAATTGATAGAAAATTTGGCTCCAATTGGTAAATAATGGATCGATATACAAAGAAAAAAAAGAAGTGAAATTGTTCGTTTGTTGTATATCTGTTGTTTTCTATCGATAAGAATATCTTCTTCAGATGGCAACGTACGGTGATACATTAAATCAAACATTTCCTAGATTATCATCAAATGGAGATGATGAATTACATCGTACGTTTCATACTCCATTATGTAACACCAAATCAACTGGTTTTAATTTTGAACAACAGTTTTTGTTTGGTAAGAAAGAAATATATTTTGAACTGCTGGGCGCTCATTAAATGCGGTTCTCAAAATATTACATGGAGCCAAAATGATTAGATAGATACGAAAATTTTAAATATATATTTAAAAATTTTCACTAATAAAATATTGAAATTTAAGGTACTACATATTTTACTATTTGAACAAAATAATGTTATAAATATTGATTGAAATTTTTAATCTCAAGTATAAAAAAAAATGAAAATTTTTCGACAGATTTTACAATATCTTTATCTATCTATATAATGGAATGGTTCCAAATATGTTTTTTTTTGTGGATATATTTGTGTGGGCTAAAGTTTCTAGGATATATCAATATTCCTGAGGTTCATTTATAGATGAGACTTAAGATGAAAATATCCTAATTTATATTTTCATGCTTAGCTTGGAGACTGGAAATTCCCTATAAAACAGTCATTACTCTGTCTTAATAAGGTGTGGGCCTAAACTTTTTTCTGTAACTACAGGACTCCAAATAAGTGCACAATTGTTTGCTCGATCTGCAAAAGAACTAAAACTACCAAGTTTCATTAGAAGAAAAACTTCAAGAAAACACGGTCTTTTATTTTGAACAGGGTGAACTTTGACCACTCTCTATTAAGCAATTTCATTGGGATAACTGTTTTCTTAGGATAACATGTTCGATCTTATAGAGTACAGGTTACCTAATATCATTCGTGTATAAATTCGTCAGTCTTACATATGACCTGCCTGTAATCGAATGTTGATAGTATCTTGATCATTGATAAATAAGCTAAAGGCCATCATTCATTGCAAAATTAAATATTCATTTTCGTAATAACCGAAAACATTGGTTAGGATTTAGCCAATGATTGAATTGAAAGTAGTTTTTCCAATTTGTGTACAGATGAAATTTTCAATTTAAAAAAAATTCTAAAATTTTTCTTCTATTTTTGTTTTTATCATTAGATAATGCATTCCATTCAATAACATATCAACCAACAACTGTATCATGTCAACAAATAACAACTGAACATCTTGATCGTTTATGTTATTCTCCTAAACCAGTATTTTCTCCTCGTTTTACATCTCAACAACAACAACAACAACAACAACAACAGCCGCAAATATCATCATTACCTATAAATCGTTTAAATCCATTTCGAGCATTTCTTATTGTTAATCGTTTAACATCAGCAATCATAAGTGTTAATCGACAAGCTTGTGAATATTTTTGGTACACAGAAAATGAACTTAAAACTAAAACAATTGATAATTTAATTCTTGATGAAAAATCTTCATCTGTTATAACAGATTCATTTTTAAGTCAACAAAGTGGACAAACAAAAATTCTTGCTGGAAAAATTGTTTATGTTCTACTTGGTACTGGTGAACGTGCTCGTTTTTCATTATTCATACAAGATCTTGATGGCGATGAAATGCCATTACGTTTTTATGCATTTGAACCTATACATATAATGCAAGCAAAAATAATTTGTGATAAACAAGGTTTAATTCTTTCATCGGATCATAATTTTTCTATATTATTTCATAATACAATGATGGATAATAATCATTTAAATGAAAATCATCATATTGGAGATTTTATTCCAACATTAAAAGATCAATTAAAATTTAAACAATTATTAACACATCGAACATATCGAACAACTGGTTTATTAAACCATGAAAAAAATTTATTTATTCCATTAATGATAACTATATCGCCAAATAATGAAGATGATATTCAATTAACGTTATCAATTATGTCAAATATTAGTGGATTAATCATGTTAGATGAAACATATACTATTCGTGCATATAATCCTTATTTTATTCAATGTTTACTCGGATATCGTTCACTTGATTTAATTAATCATGTAAGTTGAAGAAAAATAAAATGATACATAATAAAATATGAATTAGGAATAATTTGAAACCCTAAAGACATTATTTTCCATTCGGATCCAAAAGAATACGATCCGATCCTATCTCGGTTTCATACCTAAATAAATTTCTTCAGTTAATTAATTGGAATGTCACTACTAAATAACTCTTTAATCTTCTTACGGCCAAGTCCAAGAATTTAAGCATAGACTCGTTGTCTTGAAGTATGTCCACGACACAATTTTCAACAGTACTGAACTTTGAAAAATTGCTTCGTTAAAAAAATCGATTTTTTAAAAGTCTGCTTATATCACAGCATGAGATATATTGTTTTTCTATTATTTCAAGATTTTCAACAAAGGTTCGAACCGTGTAGAATTAATTTTTTACCTTTTCATTCAGTTACAAAAGAATTTTTCGTTTCAATATTCGTACTTTTGTTGCTAACAGCAAGTAAAATCTATGTTATGAGAAGCTCAAGCATGTTCAGGAAACTCTTTGCGTAGAGATTTTGTAGCCTAAAAAGTTCTCTACAAAACACGTACAGTGAAAACTGTTGTCCTTTTTATATAGCTTACACAACTGAATCTTTCATGATATCTCGAGTAACACAGCATACATTTTTTATGTAAAAATGAACAAGAAATTTCAAAGTCCAAAGAAATACACATTTTCACTTAGCGAAATCAAGTTGCTAACAAATGAAACTATTTATAAACAAAAACTGTCATTTAGATACATTGGAGATGGAAAGTTGTTTGTAAGTTTCAAACAACAATTAAAGTGGCAAAATAAACTCAGATTTTTACTATTAAGTGCTTTATTTTTTTGTGGACAACTAAATGGGACTATAGAAAATCTTCTAAGAATACAAACCAGTTTGCTTTTCTTACATACGTTTCATTTTAAAAAGGATCAATCTTTCATCATGTATTGAAAGCATTGATTATCAAAATCTTACATCATAATTAAATATTCTTCAGTCTAAATAGTTGAATTTTATTTTAAATAGCATATAACTGAAATACTACCAGAATTCAATGAATTAAATGGTACACAATCAAATAATCTTTCTATCAGTACAAATAATGATCATGAAGATCAAAATCTTTCATGTCAATCATTAGCTGGTGATGATGAATTAAGTAAAAGTGATGGTTCATCAAATACACTTAATGATTCATCGATTGAAACAACACCACAATCATCTCGAGTATTTCATTCAATAGAAAATAAAATTCTTAATGAAAAATCACAAACAAATATATTACCTATTGATAAACGATTAACAACTGGTGGATTATCATCATTCAAAACTACATCAACACCAGTAACAAAATCAACAATAAAATCCGATATTAAAATCGATACGGATGAACAAACAGGTTTATATATATATCTTTAACTATTAATTTATTACAATTAACTTATTATTTTTTTGTTTTTAGCTTTTCTACAAACAATAGGTAAACATAAAAATGGAACATTTATTGGTGTTATTTATACATTACGTCGTATTGATTTATCTGATGGAACATATCGTTATTGTATGTGGTTATCACGTGACAATACTGATCCACATTTAATTGAAATGCAAAAAATGCTTGATCATAATCAATCAATAATACCAATAGATGATCTATCAACATCATGTTTAAATATATCATCATTATTACATGATAATCAAACATTTGATACAAAATATATTATTACTCGACAACGTGGTCGTGGTGGTTATGGACAAGTTTATCTTGGTCATGAAAAATCGAATGAATCAAATAAAGTTGTTATTAAATTTATTAAAAAAACTAAAGTTAAAATTCATCGATATGTTGAAAGTTTTGAACCAAAAAAACGAATTTTATTTGAAATTGCTGTACTTAAACAATTAAAACATCCAAATATTGTTGAAGTAAGACATATCTTATTAGAATATCAAAAATAAACACAATAAAGCAAGTTTCATGAGCTTTCACTATTCATTTCGGTTTCAACAAAACTAATCGAAAATTTGATAACTGGTGCTTAGAAAGTTTTGAATTAAGTTTTCCTTCGAAATAGAAGATTCTTCTTGGAAAAATGATGCTCCGAATATCATAGACGACTAAAGAATCTAAAAAGACTACTGAGGGAAGTCTTTCGCTTGAGAACTCACTTCAGAAAACGTTAAAAGTCGAAATTTGAAAATCAATTTCTCTGATGTACTTGAGGGAGACTACAACGGCCATTTAAAAACTATTGTAAAAGTGCAATATCTCGGTAACCATAAGCTAAGAGCTTGAACTCCTTTCAGAATATTCATAGTTTATTTGGTTCAATATAATGCACGTAGCCTCCACTCAAAAGCGATTTATCAATTGGAGGATTTTCCTCGTAAGACCGATGATATGTTTGAGCTTATAAAATATCTTCCAAAATCCTTGAAATCGTGTTGACCTGTAGAAGAACTCTTTCAGTGAAAAACAAAGAAAATAATAGAAAGTCTGAAGTATTCTATTGCGGAGAAGGATTCAATGAATTTTTGTATCCGATTGGTGAATACATGGATAGAAAGCCGTTTTCGTTTCTTCTGTACGGAAAAGCTCTATGCATTGTACAATATGAATTTTGTGCCTACAATTTTTTAGTTAGTTGATTAATATGAAAAACAATAAATGAAAAAGATCTAGTTGAATCATTGTAAATATTTATTGAATTGGGATTAAACAATTGATTTTATTTAGATTTTAGATGCATTCGATACAGATAATTATGTTCAAATGGTAATGCCATTACATGGTCACGGCATTGATTTATATGAATTTATTGAAAAAGGTGCCAAAATTGATGAACAATTGGCAAGTTATATTTTCCGACAGGTATGAGTTTTATGAAAAAAAGAAAATAAGCCAATGCATAAAAGTAATGAATTAATATCATGAAGATATCTAATAAAATATTTTTTTTTCAATCTTGTCAAATAATTGATAGTATATACAATTTCGAAATATTTGTAGGTAGTCGATGCAGTGAGTTATTTACATAGTAATCATATTGCTCATCAAGATATTAAAGATGAAAATTTAATAATTAATGAACAATTTCATATAAAACTCATTGATTTCGGTATAGATTTGAAATTTTCATATAAAAATTTCCATGTTGTTTTCTTTTTGTTCTCATATAGGTTCAGCGATATCTATAACTCAACCAGATATGTATACAAGTAATTTTGGTGGTACAACTGAATTTTGTTGTCCAGATTTTTTGCAAACTGGAAGGTTTACTTCGTTGTTTATTTTTTGTACAAAACTTTTTTTGTTTTTTTTTATTAAAATAGTTGTCAACCATTTCTTGCTGATATTTGGGCTATGATGGTAACATTATATGTAATAATATTTCGTCGATATCCATTTTTAAATCCTGATGAAATAAAACGATGTCAATTAGATTTAAAATTTTTACAATCACGTATATCAGAAGAATTGTATGATTTATTTACATCTACACTTATTCGTCAACCATATCATCGTTTAACAATGCATGAAATTGAAAAACATGATTGGGTTCAACAACCATTTCATATAGAATTATATTCATGGAATATTGTTACACAAAATTCATTAGGTAAAAAATATTTATTCTAATAATTAAAACAAACAATTAAGCTTCTTTTATTTTTTAGAAGAAACATTTTTAACTGGTAATCATTTACCAAGTGGTGAAGATGATAATAATAATGATCATTCATTTGCTAGTTTAACACGTCAAATACAAAATCAATTTCATTTATTTGAGAAAAATAAAAAAGATATTAAGTCAGATAAGAATGATCTTGTTGCTTATTTAAATTGTAAACATGCTTCGATTTGAACTTGTTTTTTTTTGTCAGATAGATTATTATTTTTTTGCTCTCTCTCTCTCAATTTATTGTGTCTAATATTGTCTATTTGTTGTATTAAACCATAAATAGGAACAAAAATTTATTTGGTTATTAATAAATATGAAATTGGCTATGCTTTCATTTGTAAAAAAAAAAGATTTCTTTTTTAAATGTTTCTCTGTCAATACTAGTAAAAATTATTAGTATTATGGATAGGAAAGTGTTTGCATATCCGAATGATAAATGTTTACAGATGTGTAAAACCAATTTGTTTTAGTCCAATATCGACTAACTGTTTTCTAAGTGGTCCTGATCACAGTCCTAATTCGAATGATAATCGTTTTTCTAAGTATTAGTTCCGATGTAGAAAGTTTATCACTTAGGAAATTCCTGAATATCCGATTGTTTTATGTATTCAGCTGGCAAGTGTCATTCTTTCTTGTCTACTTAGAAATTTAGTTTTGATGCTAGGAAGGGCTGGACATCCTCCCAAAACGAGAAATTGTTCCATTTACAGCAGGAATGCTTCATCCCCATAACGTCAAGCAGAAATGGTTTTCAAAAAAAAGAATTCATTCTCTATGGTGCTATTTCAAGTAGAAGCCCTTGATCAATCTCTACTTTCATAAGAAGAATTCTAAAGACATTAAGAGATATCAAGTCTAAGAGCAGTGAGTCACAGATGCATATATTTGTTTTGACTTTTCCATTTTTCCTTGCTGTGTATGACTTTGTATGGAATGAACCATTTCTGCTTGAAAAGGAACAATTTCCCGATCGATTGATCCTATTATCCACTGTTGTTGCTAGGATGTATTACACAATTCGCTGAAGATAAACATGAAAAATTGAACTACGTACAATTTTGAGTTTCAGTTTGAACAACCGTTTCTTGTATTTTGTTCTAGTCCTGGTTCTTGAAACATCTCTTTCTCGCAGTTTTGCACATCTCGAATTATGCTAGTTATCAAAACTTTTCAAAGAAAAGCTAGGATAAAGTTATTTCAACTGCTGATCATACATTTGAAGTATTATACATATTTCTTCCTAACAATACATGAATAACTAGCTGAGTTTATTCTAAAATGTTCATTGAAAAACATACTCTGCTAGTTTTACACATATTTCTCGGTTAAAAACTTTTTGAATACAAGCAAATAAATACTGTACAACGTTGTTAAGTCTTAGAAAAATCCTATTTGTAACTTGTATCATTTAATTTTGTTTATTAATATTTTCAGAATTTCCTTGATCTGTTATAGTTGTCAGTATCGATATTTCACATATTAGATAAATACTAAAATAGAAAAACGATCTACAACATGACTGATATCTGTTTTTTGTATTCTGTGACTAAAGATGTTTAATCCTCATGAGTATATCTACATATGTACATTGTCAGTCCTCAAGGTTTACATGTCATTGAATTTTGTTCGTATGTCTTTTGTAAAACAGAATTCCTAATGAGTATTACAATTTATAGTGCAAAAAGAAAACATTTCCGCACTATGTGTTTTTCATTTTCACGATAACAGTGATTTTGAGAATAAGAGGGATAATGCCCTTGTTAGCATTTGTTTAATTATTCGATCTTTATAATTTAAGTGAATTCGCCTAATATAAATCTTTGCAAAGAAATTAAGTTTTTTGTTGAAAATGAACGATTAATAATCTATTTTTTCGTTTTAGTAAAATAAAAATATTAAAATCTGTAAATGTAGCCATATGTATCCATTGGTTAATATTCATTCTACTTTTAATATTGATATGCTATTTATCTTAAATCATACTATGGAAAAGCGTTATCGATTTGTTATGATGATTCTGGCATTTACTGACTCTTACTTGACACAAGCAAGACATAGATCATTGCTATTATTACTTTACTGAACATTCCAGAGCACTAATCGTTTTGCAAATTGTGTATATCACAAGGGAAGAAAAAGAAGAAAAAAAAACAAGGAAATTTATGTATTTGGAGATGTCAATCAACTCTATATTTATTAAACATAGTGACAGCTGGTAGTTTCTTTGGTGGTACGAATAATTCCGTTCATATGTGGAATTCTCAATTAGTCATTTATATTTTTATATTGAACTGTTGTTTATATTTTACTGTTCATTCACACGGTAAATTTTAGAATAAATAAGAAATTTAATTTTGTTTTGTATTTTGTTAAGAAAAAATTCTTATTCATGATCGTACCAATTCAACAAATGAGAAAGTTTTCATGTCATCAAAAGATTCATTACCTATATGGACAAATAAACAATTTATAATATGTTTTGTTAGTGTTTCACTTGGTACTCTTTTGTTTTTTATCACATTTATTGTACCCGCTATGATTATTATACGTCGAGCCAGACGAGATAAAAATCGATTAGATTTAAGAGAATTCAGACGTATGAGTGATTTTATATAATGTATTATGATTGTTTTTTATTGAATAAAACTTATATAAGAAAATTCTAATTTTGTTTGTTTTGTTTTTTTGTGATAGAATATTTATCGATGAGATGAAAGAGAATATTTTTATAGGTAAGAAGTGAACCGAAAATTTCTAGATAAAATATTTGACTATTTTCCACGTATTTAAATGCATTGAAAAAGAATGAGAAGTAGTAGGCATCAGAACCATAATTTTATACGTTTTTTCAGAGTATGTGCTTAGAATTTTTTTCTCTGACTTGTACTATTGATCTATAAGGAAATCGTCGTGAGACTCGAAAAAATTTTCTGAAGACAAGTCAGCCATGAGATAAGTAATGTAATTATAGAATACTTGAGTATAGTCGCTATTCTGAAAAATGACGCAAGAATGGAAAGTTTTCAAGACACATTTATAGCTCAATAGTCAAAAGTGAAAGAAAAAATTTCTAAGTGTACATTTTGAAAGAGCACAAAATTCTGGTTCTCATGCCAGACGTCTCACTCTTTTCCAGTGTATTTAAATACACAAAAATTAGACGAATATTTTGTCTAGAAAATTTGGGACCATTCTTTACATAATTCGAAACCTTTTCATTTTCATAGGAAAAACTTAAAGAAAAGCTTTGGCGTAAGATCCAAAAATTATTATCATGTTTATTATTTGCCCTTGAACGTTTTTTCTTATGAGAATAATGAATTAAAAACAAGTTATCTTGAAATTCATATTTTCTGTTTTTTTTCAAGCTTCATTTCTCTGTAATTAAAGTTGTTACATAACATAACAAAAAGAAGTCATTAATATATTTCCCCCAAAAAAATCCGCAGTGTTATATTTATTTTGCATTTTTTATCTAACAAAGTATCTTTTATCATTTCTAACAATATCTAAGCATTGTCATTGTTTTAAAATCAACAAAAGAATATAATCTAGTCATTATGTATATATATATTTATATATATAGATAAAATTTCTTTTTTTGTTCGTTTTCACTTGACAAACATGCATAGAATACAATTGTTCGTCATTGGAATAATTCTTCTACCATTATTAATTGATGGTCTTCCATTTTTTCATCGTGGTCGACCTCGTGGTGGTATGGTTGGATCACCAAAAAGACGTTTTGAATCATCATATTATCGAGAAAAATCACCAAGTGATGAATTATGGTATACACAACAACTTGATCATTTTAATCCAACAGATACACGAACATGGCAACAAAGATATTTTGTTAATGATCTACATTGGAGAAAGAATGGTCCTGTTTTTATTCAAATTGGTGGTGAAGGTCCAGCTGATCCTATTTGGATGACAGAAGGACAATGGATTAAATATGCACAAACACATGGTGCTATTTGTGTTATGCTTGAACATCGTTTTTATGGCAAAAGTCATCCAACAGAGTAAATAATATGAAATGACATTAATTAGATTATTGCATTTTATTTTATTTTTCTAGAGATCTTAGTGTAGAAAATTTAAGATATTTAAGTAGTGAACAAGCACTTGCAGATTTAGCAACATTTCGAGAATATTTTAATAGTAAATATCCAGTATCAGAACAAACGAAATGGATTTCATTTGGTGGATCATATCCAGGTTAAAGATTTAATTTAATTTTCTTTACAAATAATTTTATTATTATTTTTTTTTTTTTTGTATTCAAGGTTCATTATCAGCATGGTTTCGTTTAAAATATCCACATCTTGTTCATGGTGCTATATCAGCTAGTAGTCCTATGACTGCTCTCACTGATTTTAGTGGTTTGTTTCTTTTTTTTTTTGTTAATATTTTTCTCCTGATGAAATTATGAATGTTTGTTCTTTCTCTAATATTTAGAATATTTGGTTGTTGTACGAAATTCTCTTGCAACTTATGATGAAAAATGTAATGAAGCAATTAGTGGTGCAATAGAAGTGATGCAAACCATGATTCAATCTACTGCTGGTCGTACAGCATTAAAAATGGCTTTTCGGTAATTTAAATTTATATTTTAATCATATGACTATAATATTAATAATAGTTTATGTGATTCAATTGAAACACAAAATGATGTTGATAATTTCTTCGAAACAGTATCTGGTAATTTTCAAGGTGTTGTTCAATACAATAAAGATAATCGAGCATTTGAAGTAAATATTGTTTGAAAATTATTTTTATCAAAATAATTTGATGGTTTTAATCTTTTTTTTGTTTTACAAAATTAGGGTGCTCGTGCAACAAATATCACAATTGATGTTTTATGTAGAACAATGCTTGATACCAGTCAACCAGATATTCTTCAACGTATGGTTAATGTTAATAGTATGTTATTAAATGCATACGATCAACCATGTCTTGATGCTGGTTATACAAGCATGATAAATCAATTACGAAATACTTCGTGGAATGCATCAGCATCTGAAGGTGGTCGTCAATGGACATATCAAACATGTGTTGAATTTGGTTTTTTTCAATCATCGGATGATGCTCAACAACCATTTGGAAATAATTTTCCAGTTCCGTAAGGAAAATTTTTCGTGTATAATAAAATTATCTATGTCACTTTTTTTTATTATTGTTTTAGATTTTTTATTCAGCAATGTGCGGATATATTTGGACCTAAATTTGATGATAACCTTCTTGAACGAGGTATTAATTTTACTAATGCATTTTATGGTGCAGAAGGTTTTTCTGGCTCAAGAGTCTTATTTGTTAATGGTGCTATTGATCCATGGCATGCATTAAGTTTCACTAACGATCCTCCAAATAATAATACTGCTATTTTCTTATCAAGTAGGTTACAATATTGAGAGAGATTATCCTTTTTTTAAATAAAACTAATACGTTTTTTTCTATTTAGGTACAGCTCATTGTGCTGATATGTATCCAGATGCAGACTGGGATCCAGAAGAATTAAAACAAGCTCGTCAAACAATTAGTGATACGATTGGAAAATGGCTGCAGTGATTTTTATGAACACTATTAGGATAAAAAACTATCAATTCATTTGTGTCTTTCATTTTTTTCTAATATGAGAAAATATTCTTGTTCTTTAATCAATGGAAAAAGCTTTTTAATAACTGAGGATATATGGACGCTTCATCTCATTATTCAGTTGAGATCTTTAGATGAATCATTGGTTTTTTGAAGTAGCTTATATGAACTAGTAATACCTGAAATATGCATATTGAGCACAAAAAAAGAAACAAATCCTTCTTATGTGTGAGTACGACAAAAGTGAATGTTAACATCAGTATGACTCTTAAGTCATACACTTCAATAATCAAATCAATCATGTCCTTGTTTCCATATAATAGAACTTTTTCCATGGAAATAATTTACTGCATATATTCCAAATAGGACTTTATTTTGAATGGTTAAATATGAGAGGAAACTTATATTAGTCATAAGTTCGTGCTTAAATAGTTCCACATTTCAAATATATGAACAAGTAACCTTCATCGACACTGTATTCACTTGGCCTTAAACTGACAGATAGAGATATGAATATAGGTTCACCAAGATATAACCATGAGCTAAGTAAAAAAAAAACCTAGATAAACAGAAAAGGTGACTTGACACATCATAGCGATTAATTTCACACAACTAATCTTTTTTGTTAAAAAAATTGCGTACTGGTCTTTCTACAGAAGTTCTGTCAAAGTTTTTTAATTGTTGCACTCATTCAGCTATATTCGTTTTTGTCTTTAATGTTGTTCTCAAAACTTTCCTTCTAATATTAAATGACAATTGAATAGGTTGATTCATAAAGAGAAATACATTGGTTTTTAGAGGTTTTATACTCTATATTTGAATATTTTACATAAAAAGGTTTAAAATTGAAAATCTTCTGTTTTTTTTCTTATCATTTTCATTATTAAGTGTCTTTTTTGTATTTGAAATAAAACATATGTTATATATATTTATAAGAATAATACGAAAAACAATACAATTATTTACAGTTACATGATTCAAATAATGTGCTTTTGGTTTATCATATGTTCAGCGTTACTCTCTAACTGTTACTGATTATTATATCATATCGCCGTGTATATGCATTGAACGATCAATCGAACTATTCAACAATTTGATAACACTGATTGTCACTTCTGAAAGCATTTCAAATCGAAGAAACATGTTCTTGAAAGACCATCAATCATCTTATATTGCTACACTATGTGGCTCAACATTCTGATCGTATTTCTTCGTATAGGATACAAGAAGATACGCTTATAATATTTAGCCATGTCATATAGAAAAAAACGGTCGTATGAGACGAAATGTGTAGCATATACAGATTCCCTATACGTCGTCCTAGAATACTATTCTTCAGTTAATTTTAATCCTTATGTGTAAGTACCCTGTATTTGTTATCCTACTCAGTCGTTTGTACCATTGTAGTCATAATTACCAGATAATCATTTGCTCTACAGATACTAGATGATTATTTGAGTCATTGTGATCATACGGTAATTTTGTTGTCGATAGACGGACAGACCCAGATGGATTCTCCTTTCTAGACTCTACACTTTCAGTCTAAAAAAATACTATAGAACAACAAATTAGCAACTCAGTTTGGTCGGTAACATCAGTCAAAAATTAATTTTTGAGTAAAACTCTAACGATTTATCTGTATATCAAGTCTTTTAGAAGACTTAATTCACTTCTTACATGAGCTGAAGACTCCATCGATTTATTTTATTAGCATAACGATTCGTCCAGCAATAAAATAATACATGAATGATGGAATGATATTTCACTAACAAACAAATATTCAATATGTAAAACCAACATCAAAGTTATACAAACCTGTACTTCACAATTTATAGAAAACTTTAAATACTTGAACGTTTTTTTATCTATTCTGTATCAGTGATAATCTAGTTTCCAATTTACATTATACACATTGTACTAGTTGACTATCGAGCTTGTATTTATTGAAATTCAATGTTGTATGTGTTTTTATTGAATAATAGAGACGCATAAGAGATTGATTGATCCAGAACTAATTTTCCTATAATATTTTATATTACAGTTAAAAGGAAGAAAGAATTCATTTTGTTTTGTTGCAGAAATCATCTCTGATTTAACAAAATTTCTCAGAGAATTTCAGAGTGTACTTCGACAAATTCATTCGATTCAAGCAACAGATGCTGAAATCGAACGTCCATTTAGTGTTGTAGAACTTACATTGGTTGACAGACGAACTTGTTGAGATCCAAAAAAATTAGTTAGTAAATATTTGCGTTAGTGCTTTTATGAATATTGATGATCGAATATAAATATCCTTGGCTTTTATCGTAAGTGTCATTTATTCCCTATATTTTCTTTTATCTCTTCTCTATATGCTTAAGCATATGTTTTTCCTTTGCTATCATGATTACATTTTTTTTGATTATGCGAAGTAGAATAAACATAATCAAAAACATGGCTTTCACTCAAGGTTGTCTTGTATAAAAAAATATTTATGATGCTTGTCTCTTTGTTTTAATTGATTATTTCATGCAAGAACTCGATCTATTTTTATTGTTATAGAAATAAATTACTTGAAAAGTTGAAACTAGAATTCTACGTTCATGAAGAGCAACACAATTTAACATATTCGAAAAATCAGAAACATCAACTGGCCTGTTGACAACTCTGATCAGAAATATCTTCATGCGTTAATTAAAAATGATTTAAAACATCCAAGCTGAAATCAATAACAGAAACTACAACATATGACACATTGAAAAAAGTTTGTTAACAAACACATCCATACAAAATAGGCATTCGCAATATAGTTTGGTATCGTATAGTATTACTAGATTATCATGTAATTTAGTCTTTATAATCGTATTTTGCAAATCACTTAATCATTATATATGCATTTTAAACACGTAGTAAAAATATTGATTCAAAATCTGTCCCTCTGTCTATATAAGCTCTACGTCTAATCGAGTGACCTCTATGATTCATAATTATGTTTAAAATCTAAGAAATCAAATCTTTCTATTTATTATTTCTATTATGACAATGAAAACAAAATAATCTAATCTGAAAATTTCTTTAAAATATAAAATAAAAAGCTAGATTTATTATTTATTCGATATTGAGGTTCTATTCCATTCCCTGAATGCTCTATCACAATGACAGCTATATCAACGAATAGATGAACGAGAATCAATGCATATAAGCATCAGTGGTTTGCATATACTACAGATATATTATCTCTAGTTTTGATTTTGTTTGATTATTTATTTTCTATCTTCCCTCCTATTTTTTATTTGAAAAACAAATCAGACAAGTTTGAAATAAAACTTGCTTTAATTCTTTTCAAATCTTCACTTGAATAAAGTATTAAATAAAAAAAGAAAACTTTTTTGTAAAATGTTCATCAATTATATTTGTTAATTTTAGTAATGAAGATATGGAACACGATATTTTACAACGCCGTTCAGCGGCTGCAATCAAAAATATGGGTGTAAATTCTTATTCTCAAATTATTTCTGCATTTCGTGCTCAAGGTGATCTTACAGAAAATCAATTATCTATTTTACCCGTTTTACAAAATACATTTGGTATTAGTCGTGAACGACATACAGCTGAAGTGAAACGTGCACTTTATGATGAACAGTTATCTGAAATAGCTACAAGGTTTAATTGACACAAATATATTTTTCAATTAAATAATGCTTTTTGTTTATTTAGTATTAATCCATCATCGAATACGACAAATTGGGAAATAGAAGCTAATTATGCATGTCCAACAATTGTTCATCGTCCTCCAAATACAAAACATATTCAATTAGCTGAACACGTTTTACAAACAACACCACCAACAACAATTATTCAACATCGTCAACCTATAACAACAGCAAAATTAAGTAAGAAAGAAAAAAACCAACGATAATATTACTAAATATTTATTATTGAAATATAATTTTTATAGATCATGATTTACAACAACTTGTTAATGATGAAATAAAACAAGATGGAATTCGAAATGCAACACAACAACAACTATTGAATAATACAACAAAACAAAATTTAAATAATACAGATATTAATAGTAAGTTAATTTTTTCATATCAACAAAATCAAATTGCACATGAGCAAGCAAGTGTGCATCGAAACACATTTTTTTGCTTGACCATGTTTTTTGTTTAATCATATGTTTATTTTTAGGTTCAAAAGTAATTCGTTTAGTTCGTGCTAAACAAGCAACAAAACGTAAAACAAGTTTAGATACATTAATCGAAGTTGTACAAAAAGAATTACTTCGTATTAATGAACAAACAAATACAAATTCACCATCATCATCAAAATTACAAAATCCAATATTAACTGCTCATCGTTCTACAATATCATCTGTTTTACCATCATCACATCCACATTCATTAACATCACAAACAAATCATTCATTTAAAATAACACGTAAACGTGGATTTGATAATTTAAATATTTCAAAAAAGAATTTATTTTTACAACAACGATATAAATCTTTCAATGATGATGATGATGATGATGATGAAAATAATTTTATAGAAAATAATGATATAAAACAAACTGTTGATGATACACAATCAGGTCCGGAAAATATTGAAGAAATAGTTCGTGATACTGTTGATAGACTTGTTGCTATAACGCTTTTAAATACTGCACCATTTATTGTTAATATGCTTACAGCTATTCCAAATAATGATAATAGTACAAATACTGAATCTAAAATTATGACAAATACTCTTGGTGCAAATGTAAGTAAATAAATATAAAATGTTAGATGAACAAAATTCTTTTCGTATGAGAACACTAAAATAATAATTTCATAAAAAAAGGTTATTTAATTTCAAATAAAATGAAATAATTAAATAGCTTAGTATAATATTAATAGATATGTGCAGAGTTACCCTATCGTGTACATCTCGAAATGTAATTTATTATACAGTAGACGCAATAAGTCTCGCTAGCAAGTAAAAACTAGATAAACTTGAATTCTTTAGATTCGTAGTTTGACCACAAATAGAGCATGTTGAACTCCAATCACACGGACTAATTAGAACTTAATCGACCTTCATCCGAAGGAGCTAGAAGATCAACATAGATTTTTTTCTTCAAACGAGAATATTTCAACATAAAATATGAACTCATTACATAAGGCCCTTCATTTGACAGATCAGTACAGTCTATGTCATCAATAATAATTTCAGGTCGAACAGTTTTAGTTGATCTAATTTATGAGATATTCTTTGGGTAATCTATTCATGAGTGTTTATGCGAATTGTCGAAAAGTAATTCATATCTCTGGATAATTTTAACTATTTGTCTTGAGAATTTCATCATTTTTCATACAATGAAGGCTTCTCTGGTTCTCAAGATCATAGCGCATTGAAACACACTATCTGTGACATAATATAAACATGCGAATCTGTACTCGTTAATTAGAAAATGGAAGTTAACGTATTTACTTATTGCAAAAAGAGAAAAGTGTCAGAAAAAGCTTTTTTTGGACCCGAGGGAAAAAATCACAATATTTACATCGTAAATCCTTTGCATTAAGAGCTATCGATTTCGAGTTGCTGCTTACGATCAGGATTTACTGAATTCTATTTGTAGTCAAAAACCAAACAAAAAAATTGAAATCTATGTACTTTTTATCCTGTAGCCAGACTTACTACTGTAACTATTCAAACATTTTTAAAAAAATCAAATGTACACATGAAAAAAAAGAAACTCTGAAGTATTTAAATTTGTTCTCTAATCTAAAATCTGCAGAATGAAAAACCTACAATTATTTATCACTCAACATTGATAAACAGTCATTGTATTGAAAAAAAGTATCCTTACCTTTTGTCAATATCTTTATAAAATAAGAATGTTAATTCTTTAGAAAACACCAAATGTTTGTAACAAATCAATTCTTTGTTTTTAGAATTCATCTACAATAAAATCTCAATCAACATCAACAATTTCTAAATCAGATCATTATCATAACGATATTACATTATTTCCATCCATAGGAAATGATTTACGAAATTCATTAAAACAAACATCACCTATGAAACAACAGTTCTCATCTCAACAACAACAAATTCATCATCCACAGTTAATTATTCAACCAACAACAACAACAGCAACTCCTATATCAACTATTCAAGGAACAACAACACCAACACTCTTTGTTACTCCACGTATATTAAATTTTCAAACAGTTGTACCAAAACCAACAACAAATATTCAAATAGGTAATACAAAAATAATTCTTGTTTCACCATCAAATATTACTCAACATTTGCCACATTCAACAACATCTATTCAACCAACATCTACAGCAAGCTCACAACAACAACAAAGTCTTGTTAGTAATAGTCCTGTTAAGTTAGTTAAATTTGCTACAACAAATAATAATAATTCAATAACAACACGTTCAACAACATTACCAATAAATACAACTCAAACATCAACATTGACTTTGCCAAAAAATGTTCAAATTGTTATTCCATCTCAAACACCATCAACAATACAATTAACACGAACACATAGTGATGATTTAAATAAATCTCTTCCAACGACAACAGCAACATTTCGTCCTGTTACAACAGTACCAGTGGCATTGACAACATGTACAGTTGATCAAATTCCTCAAGCAGCACAAGAAGTAACAATAACAACATCTCCAATATCATCACCACCATTAATCACAAACACATCTGATCTTCAACAACAATCATCTCTAGGTACAACAATTAATGTTATTTCCTCAAATTCAAATAATCAATCACAAAATAATACAAATAGTCAACAACAAAGTTTCCTCACAAATTCATTCGAGAATACTAATACTAATAATAATGGAAATATAGTTACATTTAATAATAATGGTTCAACTATAGGAAAATCACGACGACGTTCATCAAGTAGTGCATCGACCGATAAACCTGTCGGCAAAATTTTACGACCGATTGCTAAAGTTCTTCCTGTTTATTCACCTAACAATAGTCATAATGATAATGATCATGGTTAGTCTTAAAGGAGAAGTTATTTGAGCATCGATCAGAAAGGACGAGGCCGTATGAAAAACACACTATTGCCTATTCTTGAACTGTTAAAAGATTCATCTATATTTTTTGATGAACAATGTTATACGAAGTTTTTTTTTTCTTAGTCATTTCATATCGATTATATAATATCTAGAGTAATAAAGATCCTAAATACTGTCCTTCATTTCTCATTATTGACATGACCATCGAAATCGTGAGATGTCTTTTTAATTACTTTCGACAGCAGTGACAGTTTGATCTCAGATTACTCTCATCAGATAGAGCATTCAATTCTAATGCATCATTTCTGATAAGACTGTGTATAGAAAAATGCTATCCATATCTATTATTTGTCAGTTTATTGACTTGTCGACAGATAGACACCAACGAACTTAGACTGTAACAAATCTTTACATACTAATCGATAGTATTTCTCGAAGACTACAAAACTAAACGTTTATGAAACTCAAAACTAACGTAAATATTCGGAACCAACGTCAAAAATTAAGTTAAATTATGTATGTTTCCAATATTTTTGCATTGAAAAATCTATCTTCTTTTAGGATCAATTCTAAAAATATGTTTCATTGAAAAGATAACGGTTCATTTTTTCACTTTTGTAAACACAGAATTGTGTAGCCTTTGACAAACACTATCGATTGGCATAGGTAGATTTTCGACAACTTAACTTCATCAATCTTAGTCTGTCGACAAATCAGTGAGTAACACCAAATTTTTGGCTAGTATACTATTGGCTGTCATTGAAGTGACAAATCAAAAACATCAATAACTCTTTTTCAACAGACACGATCTGATAGGAGTCGATGTGGCAGAATTGAATGTTCTTTTCGATGGGACCGATCTGAGATAAAAATATCGTTGCTTTCAAAATTAATTAGCTAGATACTTTATGGTTTTTATATCAATATCGATTATGAGAATTTAAGAACAGTATTTTGAACTTTTATCATTTTATACAAAATGAAACCAACCTGAAAATTATCGTCAAACTACTCAACATAAAATTCTGCATCGAAAAATACATATGAATTTTTAACAGTTCAAGTATAGTTAGATTTTGAGATTTTATATGACCTGGTCTTTTTATTATATTTATTATGTCAGATATTCTCGTTTTAAATCTAATAGAAAAATCCCAAGCATACTTCGGATGAGATCGTTTTGCACGTGATCGATTTTCCAGATATATAACAATATTAGAAAAAATGAGTATTCCTGTTAGCATATGGAGAAAAAATGATATTCTATTAAAGACATCATAAAAACATGTGTGATAACAAAATAAGATGAATTTCCTTTGAAATCGCTATAAATCAGTAATATTTCGCATACGATGAACAGTACTATAACGTCGTTTGTAGAACAATATTTCTTGACGAAAACATTTATTAGAAACTTCAATAATTCGTAATAGCAAAAGATATTATTTCTGTTACGATTTCAACATAATCTTTTCATTGTTAAAAAATATTCAAACAATTCTATTGAATTTTTATAACAAAATAGACATGATTATATTTTTTTATTTGATTTATCAAACTAATTGAATTTTTCTTATTTAGCAACTGTTGTGGATAGTACAAGTCCAACATCGATCGTTCAACAACAGCAACATCCTTTAACAAATGTAACCACCATAAGAACAAGTCCACCACATGATGATATGATTAAACCAGTAACAGTTAATTTTCAATCAAAACCTCAACAAATCCCAAGACCATCTTCTACACACGGACCTATGATCTATCGCATGACATCTGTTAATCCAAGTATACTTTTTTTTTTCGAAAAAAAAAATCTAATTAATCTTCAAAATTCTATCTGATTACTTTCTTTTTTAAGATGTTCCTGTTTTTCGTGTACGTGCAACAACAACTCCTACTTCTACAACTGTTATGAATAAATCAATTAAAACTGAAACAAAACCAATATCAGTAGCTACTGCAACAAACATGTGTTATGAATCCAAACCAACACATACAACTCCAACTACAAGTGGATCTGTTTCTGTACTTGCATGTTTTAAAACAACGAAGAAAAGAAATAAAGTATGATTCTCTTCAAATATTCATACTTGTTCTAATACTTTAAATTAATAAAAACAAAAAATAACAAAACTTAATTTTAAAAATTCTCTATAATATATTTTTCTTCGTTTTAAGGAACGAGCAATTATGCCACGACCAAGTACAACGGATTCTAATGATACATCTCAAGAATTTCAACAACGTTTAAATACAATATTAAATACAAATACATCATCACTACTTAATAATGATACAACAAATAGTAATTCATCATCGGATTATCGTCAACAATCACCATCAACACCAACACGTCTTGTTCAACAGACAAGTTTATCATCAACATTATCAGACGATAATAGTACATCAAATTTATTTTCATCATCTATACAAGAACAAAATAATGATACAACAACATCATCATCAAATAGTATTCCTATTTCACGTCATAGTACAACACAATTAGATAATAATTCAAATTCAATTAAAACATTAACAACTCCTAATATATCACCATTAATGTCACCTATACAATCATTACATTCAACACCAAGACCATTAATGGAAGATAAATGTATACAATGTATTAATCATAAAAATGAATATGAAGATGATGAGATTAGTATAGAACATGATGAAATCGATAACATAGATGATCAGCAAATAATAACGAGTAGGAATAGGAAATAAGATTTCTTCTTCTTTTTTTATTTACACTTTTTCTTTCATTTGTATAGATTCTGAAATAAAAAAACGATCTGGAGATAATATCATATTTGATGATGAAAGTTGGACAATGGCAGCGGACAGGTAATTTTTTCAGTTACGTACTAATTGCAACCAAAAAATGAAGCGAATCAATGAAAAATGATCATTTATTGACATGAACAAAATTGCATTGCCTCGTTTTTATGACATTTCTAAAATGTGGTCACTTTTCAGTTAGAGAGAGCAATCAAAAAACTTTATATAATATATATTTATATCAGAGATGCCTACGAAGGTGTAATAGCCTTGTCTCTTCTGGAATTGCAGTGGGATAGTGGCAAATTTTCATTACAGATGAGAAACAATTCATCAAACTTTTGATACAAATTAAAATTATGATCTTGCATGCTACAACATCCATAGACATTGCATTTGTAAAATTACATCGATTTTTTCAAGTAATAACACGGATACTTGATTTAAACGTTTAAACGTATTTGAATGAACTGTTATGATTTTCAAGTTTTAATCGATATGAATAATTATTATACAAAATTATTATTCCAACTTTTTTTGCATTGTTGAATAAGTCAACGTAGGATCCATTGTAATATTACTTTCATTCTAATCCTTTTGTATTTATCAACAAATGAGGCAATGTAATTTTATTCGTTCAAAAAACAAACGGTCATTTTTCAATACATCCTTCCTTAGAATAGTAATTCACTAGACTTCTAGTTTTTTTCGCAAGTCAAAAGCCTGAAATTTAGCTTTTTTTGCGATCAATCTTTGTTTGCTATGTTTTGATACACTTGCAAGCACAGATGCGCCTACATTCGGAAGACTATACGCTTGACATTGGGCTTTCATTTTATCGAGGCTTAATATTTGAGTCGCAATGAGAGAACTATGAATTATCTATATTCATTTATTATATGTATTAATTTGATTTAGTCTTCTTCGTGATATTCTTTCTCAATATGGCTTCCGTTTTCTTGATGTTAGTTGTCAACAAAATTTATCATCACAATTTGATATTATTCAAACAAATCTTGTTGTATGAATATTTCTATTTAATAACATTGAATTTTTCAAGAAAATCTATTTATGTATATTTTTTTATTTAGAGTGGAGTATTATCATCAAAAGATGAACTTTATAATTCAGTTCTTGATATTAAACGTAATTTATTAAATAGTGATTTATCAAAAATTTCCGAAGATAATCTTGAAAAATTATTTCATTATTTTGAAGTTGAATTTAAAAAAATATGTGATCAAACAAATGAACATGTATGTTTATAATAAACTTATTTTAAAGTGCTGGCAATTCGAAATTTTGAGCAAAATGTTTTTTTGACATATTCAAACAAAATGAGAAAAGCCTACAAACTTGAAATACATAAAAAAGCGTCAAGTCTCAATATTTATCCAAATATTTCCTTTGATTTTACTCCTCAAATAGTAAAAGAAACAAGTCATAAACACGAGTTTTTATTAGAAAGTTTTGACTATCAAAACTTCAGTTCCAGAAGCAATGAATTATGTGTAGAATCAGTACAAAAATCTGCATCGAACAGTATATTCAATAATCAAGACTAATTTTCGTCAAATTTCGACCTTGAAAGTAACGACAGATATTTGACAAAAATTAGTATTGAGTATACTATTCAATGGAGACTTTTATGCTGATTTTGAATATAATATGCATCATTTTCTTCTAACTATATGCCCAATGAAATCAAAACATTTTCGGATAAATATCAAGACTTGATGCTTTTGAGATACTTCAATTTTTATAAACTTTTCTCATTTTTGTTATTCTAATTTTCATAAAACACCGTCTGAGTATGTCAAAAACAACATATCTATAGGTAACTCGACTATGAAAAGGGAGACATACTCATTTACATCCGAATTGCAGATTATCATATAGAAGCAGAAGAAAAATGTATGCAAGATATTATACTTCAATGGTCTTCTGATGCATCGAAGCAGAAAAACAAACGAACAGGAGCATTGCAAAGTCAAATAAATATGTTGTATAATCGATATAATAATTGTCTGATTACAACATTTTGTCTTCTCAATGATTTGTCTTTCATTCTAGCAAAAAGAAGGTTATGATTGTACAATAAGAACATCATTTTATGCTGATATTTCAACGTACTATTCCTTGATTTTTTAATGATCTGCACGAGAAAGTGTCCAGACGTCTTCACCTCAATTTTCAACATTTTTATTTTCAACTAAACTTTAGATAATCAAATATTTTACTCGAATTTCGAATTGCTCCATCATGTCCTATATATGATTTTATATTTTTATTTTTATTTTTATTTTTTTTAGAAAAGAATACGACGACAATAAAATATTGCATTAAATAATTGTTCATTATATGCTATATTTAATATTCATCTTGTTGAAATAATCATTTATTTTTTAGTGTTTCATTTCACATTTATATGTAAATATGCTTGTGAATTCTACAATGCTTGTCTTGTTATATTTGTTTTTTTTTTGTTTTGTTATTGTTTATACATGATTGATTGTATGATAAAAGTTGATATTGATTACATTTTGAATTCTTTCATATAAAGCCTTAACATTTGTATGTTGTGATTGAGGCTGATGTTTGTTTGTTTTTTGTTTTTCTCAAAGCAAAATGTATGTATTTGTGTATTATTTTTTTTGCTTCTGTTGGATGATTAAGCTAGAGAGGTGATATTAAATCAAAAAGTGATTTTCTCTCTCTTTCTTTGTGTATTATTTTATCGTTTTTTCTTCGTTGTCACTTTTGTTCTTCATTTGTTTATGTTGATGTAAGTGAGAGATAAAGAAAACAAGTTATATTTATCATTTTCCCTTCATTATATAGTTCTGTACAGATGATGTGTTTATTGCGAAATTAAAATGATGGACAAAACATAAAGATAAACATTAGATATTATATATATATATAATTATGTATTTTTGTTTTTTTTTAATATTAGATGATTTATTTGTATGATGCCTAAAAGTTTTGAAACTATAGGCAAAGAATGTCATGATTGTGGACAAAATGGTAAGACATGTATGGAATGTTTGTGATTGAAAGATTGATGTGTTATTTACTGAAGTTTGAAATTAATATTTTTAATTTTCTCTAATGAAAGAGCAAATAATTGATGTGCTCATTAGCTATGCATTGCCTTCAGTTTCGATAGGATGATTGGTATCATATCAACATACTATATTAGGTATGTCAAGAATCTATCGATGATTAGAGAAAATTGAAGGAATGTACTTACAAAATAGTATATTAACGCAATGTGTAAGGAATAGAAATGTTCGAGTACAGCTTTAGTCTGGTCTCAGTGACCTTGACAAACAAATGTATCGAGTCCTTTATAAAATATATCAATAAAATAAACAAAAAATCAAGACAAATGATCAAAACAAAAAATGACATTTCTCAGTTGATGTCACTAAAATCCGAGTATTGAAGACTTTTAAAAGGCTTCATGAGAAAAAAATTTTGAAACAATTTTCACTAAGCCGAAATCGAACAAATGCAAAATTTTAGTCGTGTGTGTCTCTAGCGAGAAATAATGAAGGTGAAGATAACAAATAAATCTATGAAAAGAAATAATATAATAATTTCCATTGAGATATGAAGAATATCGTTTGATTTAATTGACTAGGAAATCAAGGTTTGAAAAATATTCAATACACAATTTGTTAACTTTAGTGAACATGTCCTTACTGTTTATATACAATACTTTGATTGAGTATGTAATAAATTTTTCGATTTCTATTTCGAAACCCAGCATGATCATAATAAACTAAATGCATGAAGATCAGAGAATGTCATCGAAAAACTATCTTAACTAAGATTCATGTTTTTCTTTCATAAGGTCCTGAATGGTGTTCGATCAATCATGGTATTCTTCTATGTGATGAATGTTGTAGTGTACATTTAAGTCTTGGCCGACATATATCACAAATAAAATCTTTCAAACGAAGTTATTGGTCACCAAATCAATTGAATGTATAAAATAAAAAAAATTTTGTTAATTTCTTATTTAAATCTAACTTTTGTTTTTGTTCTTAGCTAATAAATGAATTAAGTTCAAATGGCGCTAATCTTATATGGGAATATAGTCTACGTGATCCACAAAATAAATTTCCAAAGAAAAAACCATCAGCTAAGGATCCACTTCCGTAAGAAATCAAACGATCGATTCCTAATATAACCTGGTTTTTTTTTGTGAAACACGATGTAAAACGAGTGTTGAAGTATATAGAATAGAAACTTGCAATGGCTCTTATAGGCCTTGCTATATGTTGTTAATATATAGTGATGGACATAAGTTTAGAACAATTGCATTTTTAACATTTATTCCTGATAGTAATGATTAGCAAGAACCTAATAACCGATCAGAAGACTTCAGCAAAACTGCTTGGATGAAGGTTTGCGAAAAATCAAGACTCTCCGAAACAACTTTCTGACGCCTATTCGAAGTTTTTGAGAAAAAATTTCGTTTGATAGATCAAATTAAAACATCTGAAATCTCTTCATAACCTTTCTTCATCGAAACGCAATCAATTTACAGAAGACCCATGAAGCATTTTTCTTTTCATTTTCTTGAAAATTTACAAGTTTTTGCCATGTTTTACTCTTTGCAACCTTCTAGAAATGAAATACAGTTCGATGAAAGAAGGTCGAATATGACTCATCTGGCTAAGAATCGTTTGTTCTATCGAATAAAATCTTTTCCTTAAAGCTTCGAATAGAAAACCAGAAAGCTACTTTTTGAGAAATATGTGTTTCACATTTTAATTTCTGTAAAAATTGCACTAATACCTTTTATGATTATTCTTATTGTCTATATAGAATTAAAGCTGAATTTATTCGAACTAAATATCAACAAATGGCTTATATTAATCGATTAAAAGATGAAACAAACGAAACATTTGAAGATTTAAATTTAGTAAGAAATAAAAAAAGGATTTAATATTTATCAAAGTCCCTTGTTTATAGCAATTACATTCTATTGTTCGAACAGATAATATAATAACATGCTTAAGGTTTTTATCTCAAGGTGCTGATCCAAATTTTCGTAATCCGGTTAGATTTAAGACAAAAAAAAAATTTCTATTTTCTTCTTGATAAAATGATTTTTATAGGAAACTGGAACATCATCTGTTCATGTTGCTGCAAGTCGTGGTCAATCGAATCAAATTGAAGTAAAATATTTTTTATACTGATATATTAATTAATTAATATAAAATATCTAATTTAGCTTCTTTGTATTTTTGGTGGTAATCCTGCAACAGTTGATGCTTCAGGTGTATCACCCGAAGAACATGCACGGTAAGAAAAAAAAACTAACAAATGATTTATTAGATTTTTCTTATCTTGTGTTTAGATTAAATGGTTTTTCTGATGTAGCTGATCGATTAATTGAACTTCAATATGAATTAACTGATTATCTTATATGTTTTATTGGTTGTAAACGACCAAATCATAAAACTAATCAACATATTGTTCTACCTGAATTGAAGAAGTAAATAAATCAATTGAAGAAAAACAAAATTTTGATTTTTTTTGTTTTGTATTTTTATTAATAGTCTTGATAAATCTAAACAAGCAATAATAGCTCGTCAAAAACTTCAACAAGTATTATTAATTTATATTATAAAATAACAACTAATCTGTTTTTGTTTGTAATATTTTAGTTATCTGATTCACTTTTTGAAGATTTAGCAATGGATGTATATGATGAAGTTGAACGACGAGAATTAAAAACAAGTAAATATAATTAGATAATCTCATTAAATTCGTTCGTTTTATTTAGTATGGCATGCACAAGTTGATCGAGCATTAATTCCTTTGCATGTTGTACCATTTTTACCGGTTAATCCATCATTTTCCGCAACAAGAAATCAAGTATTAAAAATAAAATAGTTCTAAAAAACGAAAATCGAATGTATATTTTCTTTAGGGTCGACAAAAATTAGCTCGATATGGTTTGAAAGATTTTCATACATTTATTTATGATATATTAAATGAAGTTCGTAGACGATATTATGATTCTATTCAATCTTCAACTATTTTCTCAGCAACAAAATGTATGCAACAACAAAGACCAAAAAAGAATTTTCGTTAAATTTTTGTTTCTTTAAATAGCTCATGCATTACCTCGACAAAATAATGATTCATTAACAGCAATGATTGATTCTGATGACGAACCGTTTTATGATAAAGTTGCATCTGATGATGATAGTAATGGTTTAGATAATAATAAACATCAAAAACGAATTAAATTAAATAAAAAATTAAAAAAGGTTGAGATTAAAAAAAACAGATTATTTAATTCTAATATTTTTTTTTCTTCTTCGGACAATTTTAGTTAGTAAAAAATCAATTGATTGATAATTCATTACAATCTCCAACTGAAGTATGAATATAACACTAATTCATTAAATATTTTACTTAATCACCATTTGTTACATTCCTTTTTATTTAGAACACAAGTTTATTTGATAATTTAAATCTTGAAACAACTGAAAATCATCATTCATCTGATTTAAAATCTCGTATTGTTAATACAGAAATGCAAGTTAAATATTTAGCATGTGCTCATATTGATTTAAAAAATGAATTATCTGTATTACACCAAATGGTATTAAAAAAATTAATTTGTCTGTTCTTTATATATTTTATTTTTTAATTTGAATAGATTCAACGATTACTTGATGAAAGTCTTCTAAATAAAATTGATCAACAAGTAACAAGTAATACATCTACTGTTATTAATGGCAATGAAACCAATAATATAATTAATAAAGTAAAATTTTTATTTGAGTTTTAAATTGCTTAAAACATAGATCAAACATTATTTTAGTATGAATTATTTATGAATACTTTATAATTAAAAAAAAATGAGGATATATAAGTATAATACTTTGATGAGTTTATAGTATGTATTAATTATTATAAAAAGAATAATAGGTTAGAATGGTTACAATAAATTTTTGTCTTTTTGATAAAAAGTAATGTCTTTCATATGGATGTTTTTTTTTCTGGAAAATTAATAAAACAATCGTTATTTGCATGATATGGAAGCAGATGATGAAACATATTTTAACTAATCATATTAACATTTATGTATATTATAATTAATTAATTAAATATTCAGTTCAATTTACAAGGAAACATTAAAATTTATTAAATCCATTTTAGAAATAATTAACTCATATAAAAATATTGTCGCTCACTCAATTATATCATTAACTTCGTGATTTAGTTTCATACTTCAACTTTAAGTAGCAAGAATAAAGCCGAGATCGAATGTGATGACAGATTTTTGTTGTAATTAAAATCTTTTCAACTTCACAAGGGAACTCTTGAATCGATATATTGCTTTTGGATTAGGACTATTAGAATTTTGTAGATTGATATGAGCCATGAATACTTTGAAAAGAGTTCATACCCTCAGATTATTACTTTGGAGATACTGTACTTTTGTGGCTGTTCTTAAATAAATGCTGCGATTCTCCTTCGAAACATGAGAAATACTCGTTTTCGAATTTCGACTTGAATCAATAGATGTGGTATTCTTATTTGAATATCAAATTAAATCAGAAGGCCTTAAACATTCACAAAAGACTATTCTTGTTAAGGACTTTTGCTATACGAAGTTTCAAGCCGAGATTCAACAATGAGTTTTTCTGAAAGACACCACGGTATTCATTTAAAAAATATTATAAAACCGCAGTATCTTCGTAGTCATTATTCAAGGATATGATTTCTTTTCAGTATGCTCAAATCTCATTTGGTTCTGTATAATATTGACTCAAAAGTCGTTTATCATTTGCTCAGAGTTTTCTCATTGGTTATAATGTGTAACTTACTATCCAAAAGAGATTTTTTATAAGTTTCAGTAAAGTCTTTTGATGATAACTTCCTTTCTAATAGATATATAGCTTAATTGAAGTTCAATATCATAGAATTATCTAATAATATGTTGAAGAAATTATCTAATGGATTGTTGCATTTGTCCTTTTTCTTATTTTATTAGTCAAATCAACAATTATTCGATAATGTTAGTCGTAAATCAAGTCCGTTTATTGAAAGTGATTATGATAATACAACAATAATTGAAGATCCTGACAAGTAAGTTGTTTTCTTATTTTAAATATTTAATTTTTCTATGTTTTTTCTTTGTTAAATCTAGGCCTTCATCAAGTTTACCACGAACAACATATTCTAGTCATGATAAACGGTAATTTATAAAATGATTTCTATTTATTTGAAAAACGAAAACGTTTTATTGTTTATAGGTCTAGTCGTACTACGCAAAAGTTTCCTCAAATAGATGAAAATCTATCGAATAATTTTCGATCATGTCGATCAACAGATTTTATTATTAAAAATGTCGCGGTACCAAATCAAGCATCTACAGTAAATTCATTTCAACAAACATCAAAAAGAGATATACCAATACATATTAATCGATCTCGATCATGTTCTGGTGGGCGTAATAGAAGAAAATTACCAAGAGTTTTAATACGTAAAGGTATTTTATATTATTAATATAGATGAATCATTAAATTTTGAATATATAATCTAATAGGTTCATTTAATCGAGTAGAAACTAATATTGATATTGATAAACGTACACGAAGAATAACACATCGTATTGCAGATTTATATAGTTCAATTAGAGAAAATCAAACGGATCGGTAATTAAAAAAAAAAACAATTAAAATAAATAACAAATTTAGAATAAAACAAAAGCAATTATTATTTTTTATTAATAGATATGTAACTTATGCTGAACAAATAAATCATTCAGTTCAAGATATGATTGATTTATCTGAACAAGTATGTTATAATAGAACTTTAACAGATGTATCATAAATTATGTCATCAGTCGTATTTTCTTTTTATTTTATTCACGTTTGTAGATAGAAAACTATGCTTAGTTTCAACCAATTTTACCGTTTCATTCTCTAGAAAAATCAAACGAGAATGATTAGACCTAATGTTCAAAGTTTTCGAAAGAAACAAAGGATACTGAACTTCTCCGATATGTACCAATTTCTAGAGGATGTTTTCAATGGAATTTTCGATGATTTGTCTTTTTGTTCTGGTCGCTCGAGACATGGTATAGAAACTTTATTATGGCAATGAGCATAGCTCTATGTCATGATGTACACTGATGGACCTTTCCTAGAAATATTATGATATAGAAACGAGTTCCTTCATAATTGAATCAAGACTACGCACTTTATGTTGCACCAAATGGACTATGAATACCATGAAAACAGTTCAGGCCCTTACTTACTGTTGCTGCAATATTTCATTTTTTCGATAGTTTTTTAATGAATCTCGTGGACATCCAAGAACATCAAAATCTCATTATAAAATTTCGACTGGAAACTTTGCCTAAATACAGACCTTCATGAGCATAGTTGTTTGTAAATGTTTCTGATCTTGTCATTGTTCATATTTTAATTTTCTGATGTTCATGAAGGAAATCATAGCATTCATCATTTACAAAATACTGTAAAAGTACAATATCTCAACAACAATAAGCTAAGAATCTGAGCTATTTTCAGGATATGCATAGTTTATTTAGTGTGACATAATGCATGTGGTCTTCATTCAAAAGCAATTATCAGTTGGAAGACTTCCCACGTGAATACAGAGCTTATTTTTTATCATGATCGTTTCATCTTTGTTTTCATCGACTTTCTAGCAAGCTAATCGAGATTTTACGTTAAAATAGTACACTCTTATCGTCTTGCATCAAGTTTTCGCAATCCTTAAGAGTATTGATTCAATTTGATAGTTATCGTGAACTTTGATAAGAATGGCTGACCTTTCCAAACATCGGTATATGATGTATTGATTGGTCCATGAAGACATTCAAGCGCAGCCACCAATGAAATGTCAAACAACAGATAAATATTCCTTCAAAAACTCAAGCGTTAGCAAACAAAAACTCAAATACAAGTTGTTGTATGCTAAAAATGGATGCATTAAAGAATTGAACACCGAATCTATAGCACACCCGTTGTTGTGAAAAATCTTTAGTAATTTTTCAAAAAAATCAAACACTTTTGTAGTTTAAATAAATAGATGATTTAATTTCATGTGAAAATTCTATTTAAAAAGAAATTGTATATATTGAATTTGTTTTATATTGTAGTTATCATTCAATGATGATATTCGAGCAAATCTTGAAATGTTAAATACAAGTACACAACAACTTTTAACTCATACAACATTTAAAGGGAAAGATCCAACAATACAAATACAATATATTATTGACGATTGTTATAGTATTGCACTTGCAACTAGAAATCTTTCAAGTCTTTATCAAAAAATATGACAAAATGAGAAAAAAAAAATATTTTGTGAATGTCTTTCAATTATTCAGATTTGTTCTTATGTTTTTTTTTAGAATATTTTGTTTTGTATTTAGGCAATCACTTTGACATAATCATCTAAATTAGTAAATAGATAATCTCTTTACTTCCTACTAGATATCAGTTACTATACATGCTCAAGGTCTGGAAATTTCTATAAATATATATTTTGTCAAAGACATAATCTCATCTGGACTTCTATATTATAAACAAAGCTATGATGGATGACATATATTTTTCTTTTAACATGTATAATTCAGAAAAGACAAGGTTTTATCATAGGTTAACTAGTTTGTTAATATACAGTGTAATTTTATAGTTACTCATTTTATTGATTTCTTCTTAAGAGTTCGTCAAATTGATGTGAAGCAAAAACATCTGTTATTATTTGGAAATCATTACTTAGGAAACAGTCAATAAGTAGAACTTAAAATTTGGGTGAAAATATTTTTTTCGTTTGTCATTATTGTCAATGAGTTTCAAAAGCAAATATTTTTGCTAGAGTGAAATGTCATATAAATTGTCATAGCACAAGTTCACTTTTATTGTTAGGTTAAGCAACACGTTATGTTGTAGCAAACAAAAAAAAAGATGATATCCATCATAATTTTGTTTACTTTCAAATAATCGAAGGATGGTTATGTATTTGACCTTTATCTCCTTGTTAGAATATTTGCATAGAAAGTTCTAAACATTTTAGCATGTTTAATAGTAGAGATGAAATTTAAGAGAAGACTTTTATTCAAAAATTATTGTATATATTTAAAAAAATATGACATTTTTATATTAATTTTTATCTTCGAATATTTTAGTTTATAGTATTTACTCTTTTTTGTCTTCCTTTGAGTTTGCATTGGTAAATGATGTTTTTTTTTTGTGTGCTATATAAGTTTTAAGTAACTATGAATTATTATATTAATAAAAATGGATGAAAGTCTATTCAATAAAAAACAAAATACTTGCACATATAAATAAACTTTTACGGAGCCGAAAAACTAAACATAATGTCATAAGAATGCATGCTTTTTCTTCGTTATTTTCTGAATAAAAGTTATACATACTGTGACTTACGAAGTTCTATGAGAATAATCTGAGAGATGAAAGAAATATGTTTTAGAAGAGATTACCACAAACTAATCATGTTTTTCATTGCAAAAAGAAACAAATGATAAAAATTTACCTTGATTTAGGTCATGTCAAAGGCTGTAGTTTATTTATCAATGCGTAAATCCTTCATGATTTGGAAGAAAATATAAAAAAAGAACCCTTGTGAATGGAAGATGTAATTTGACTAGAAAAGGCTTACGATAATTCTAGATATCTGACGTCAAATCAGATATCACTTTCCAATAGCGTATGAAAATACAATACTTTTATCTATATCAAATTCTTCATAGAACGATCAAGAGTCAAGTTCTTGTTTTCTTCAAATATTCTATTTATTTTTTTTACTGGATACTAAGCATCAAGGTGTTCGCAAATACCATTGAAAAATTTCTATTCGAATCCATTACAGTCATATCTATATCATAAAAAACATATTGTTTTTGTATAAATATCTTATCTTTCAATTGATAAACATCGTCAACATTCTATGTTACCACCCACGATAGTTCCTGTGACCTAGAAAAACCATTCTTTTTCTTTTTTTTTCAACAGGACACATGTATTTTACTTTGAACAAATAGACAAACAAATAAACAAAACATAAACATAGAAAAACAAAAAAAAAAGATAAAGATAAACAATTTCATGATAATAGACTTTGCCACTATGTTGTAGAAGCGCTGACTTGATGAACAATCTGACTGAAGTCACAAAGTATCGCGAAAGCCAAAATCAACAACATAGGAAAGACAGAACAAAAAAAACAGAAAATAAACGTATAATAGGAAGACAAACATAGAATGGCACACGCACACACACCCACATAAACACACATACACCGTGAATCGCAAGATCGAAAAAAACGAAAAAACAGAAAAGAAAAAATTTCTTTAGTTTTTTTTTCTCTTTTTCTCTCTCTCTCTCTCTTTTCAGATTGTAATTCCATTATTTCGTATAAACATACATACATCACAGTCGAGTGAGAAATAAGAAAAAAAAAAAGATTTCAAAAGAAAAACAAAAGGCAACTTTTCTATATCATTAATAAATTAATGTCAAACAGAATTTTTCACTGTTATCAGTCGATCAGGCGAACTCGGTAGAAACAACAAAACAAGAACTAATTCTAATCGTGCTTACAATGCATCGAATCAAAATTGAAAGAAAAAAGAACCACAGAAAAAAAAAACATAGAAATAAAGAAAAAAAAAAGACTAGAAGTGACTCTTGTTGTTGTCCTCCGACTGATAATGATGGTGATTGTGGACGGTACACACACACACACACACACATATAAACACACACCACGTACATATATATATATATAATATATAGACATAAACACAAAGAAAAACAAAAAAAAAACTATTGCAATATCCTTGTCTTGAAATGGATGGGAAAGAGAAAAAGGATTAATGAGTAGAAAAACGAAAACACACAAAACATTAGGATCACCGTCCTCGTCGTCGACAGAGACACAAAGAGGCTCAACCGTATGTACAAAATACTGCTTTGCTATGCTCAAACACATAAATACATCATATACATAGAAAGAGATTGCGTGAGAGACAAAGCATTACTGTACAAAAAAAACGAAGAAGAAAAGGAAATCTTCCGACGAGGGAGGCTAAACAAATTAGAAAGTAAGATATGATGAGAAGAAAGTCATTCTCCAAAGAAGAAGAAAAGGAAAGATAATTTTTTAAAAAGATGAAAGTAGAAGAAGAAGAAGAAAAAAAAAAGAAGAACATTTGCCCCATAAAATATCTAAGCTTTAACAGAGATATATTGTGTTGGAAATTTTTGATATGATGATGTTGGTGTTGATGAATAATATGGACTATAAAAACCTTGATTATTATTTGTATAATAACATGTTCGTGAAAAATTTTGTTTCGATTGTTGTATTGGTGATATAAAAGATTTTTGTCTTATTGGTGTTGTTATTAATTCTTTTTCGTTTAAATTTACATTTACATTTTCATTTTCTTTTTCATTTTCATTTTCATGTGCATTTTCTTTTTCTTTTTCCTTTTCTTCTTCTATTTTAACCGGTAAATTATCAACATTTGATAATGGTAAATACCATGATTCAGGTGGTTTTGGTAATGATGAACATTCCGGTGGATCAGCATATGTATTTGAGTAAAACAATGGTACAGCTGGTAATGAACTAGCTGACATTGCTGTTGGTGAAGTTGTATTTGAATAATGATGATAATGATAATAATGATTATTATTATTATTATTATACATTCTCGGATAAGACGATGCCATACTACTATTTGATCTCATACGACCATTATTTGAATTTGTAACTGGTATTGAATGTGAATGTTTGATACGCTGTTGTTTCACAGGTGATTTTCGATTATTCATATTCATATTTGGCATGATGATATGTGCAATTATATTGTGTCGATTGAAACGACAAAAAACACAAAAAAAGAGCTAATCTAAAATAATATGCATATTAATTTTTTTAAAACTTAGACTAGAAAAAAAAATAGATATATATATACATAAATATATAAATTTGAGATTATATACAGTCATATAGACACTGACAAAAGGTAAGACAACGACAACCACTATTTATGTTACTTTATGAAATAGAAGAGAGAACGCAGGGTTATGGGGCTGACAGACATAGACAAAAAAAAAGTGACGATAGACAAATAGAAAGGCTCTATACAACATGCCCCTCTACGGCATTCGTGATTGGTCGGAGAAAAAACGGAAGAAAAAAGAAGCTTGTGTATTCATACAACGACGATCGAGGCTGACTGACGTTCGCATTAACGTCAAAAATAGCCCCGTGTATGCGTGGATAGAGAAAAAGAGACTATATGGAGGCGAAAAAGAGAAGAGAACGAAGAAAAGCCCTGCCAAACACTTTTTTCCTACCCTTTTTCTTATTTATATTTTGCTAGCAGTTTATGACGATGACGATGATGATGATGATGATGATTATCAAATATTCAACGGGTTTTCTATACAGCAATCTATTTATATATATATATTGTGTTCTAAAGAACTCATGACACAAAATAAAACTAATGAAAAAAAATATGCAGTTTATTTACTTAAACAGCTGTACATCATATTAGAGCGTGAAAAAAAACAAAATAGTTGCTCGATATATATATATATACTATGAGTCATGATATTTATCATGAATAAGAGAAGAAAAAAACTCATATGTTTCTGGAGAAGAGTTTTTCTTTTTTGCATTGTCATGCTTATTAATCTTGATTTACTTCTGATTAAAAAAGAAGATGCATGAAATGAAACCACTTACATATGCAACTGAGACTATGGTTTTGTGGTTGTCAATTCATAAAAATTAATTTATACGACCTGTTACCTTGTATAGTCCATGTTCGATATAATGTGTATGTACATACATATGTAGTTGACCTTCTCCCTCTCTCAATCGGACATACAGACGGTTGAAGAAGAGTTCAAATGAAAAAGGATATTACTCGTTCGTTCGTTTGGTTCGCGCGCCTTCGCACAGGACACATCTGCACAATATAATGAGTTTCTCTATTTTTCTCTTTTTTTCTTTCTCTCGTTTTCTTTCTCTTTCTTTTTTTCTATCGAGAATGTTCTTCTCTTTAATCAACTTGATGCGTGTGTTCGCTTCTGTTGTGGACTTATAACCGACGGATTCAGCGAGCAAACAAATGGATGGCAAAGAAAAAAAAAAAAAGAAAATGACATTAGCGGACAAAAAAATCACGTCCACAAGCATTATACATAACATCATATTTGATAAATATGGGATAGAGAAATTGATTTGTATAAAAAAAAAATAAACAAATTTTGCGACAGATGTAAGAAAAAGTTGTCGCTTAGTAACAATTTGAAAGGCTGATCAAATCATGTTTATATAATACAGCTGATTGTCATGCTCTGTTCTATTTAAATGAAAAAACATAATAGTTGAAAAAAAAAAACCATTAAAAATGTTTACTGATAGTAGCCTATGGAATACTCGAAGAAAACAACATAATATAGAAGCAACGAGATCAGTTACAAGTATTAGATGTCATCATGAACCATACTTGAATTTATGACTTTTTTTGTTATGTATAGCACTTATGGATGAAGCACGAATTAATAATTTTCAATATTCTCAACTTACAAGTAACATGCTACGTAAGGATGACATATTATTAAACAAAATCTATTTATATATTGGCTCGTTTATTCTGAATACGAATTTCGATTAATTGAAAAAAAATATCATATTATATAATTTATATTTTATATTCAATACTAAAAAACATTTCAATGATGCATTCGTAAATATTAATTAAATATTAATTTATAGGAGGTGCATCATTATCTACGAAAAGCGAAACATCATCAATGCAATCTAAACCATTAATAAATAAACGAATAAAGCCAATTCGACCCTTAAAGTAGATATGAATCTATTGATTAATCACAAAAATAAAAGTATCATATTTTTCAGAACATCACAACCTACAGGATTACGTACTTATAATGATATTGTTAATTCAGGGGCATATACTCAACCTGATTATCATCCTAGGCCCATAAGTATGACAAATGTATAATTGATTTTCTTTTGTTTTTGTACGAAATTTATTTTTATAGAAACTCGTACTGATCAAGAAAAAGATCGTTTAGCACATTTAATGGCATATGGAATTGATCCAACAAAAATGGTCTATAAAACCAATGAATGTTCAACACCAACTCGTGAAATTGATCGATTTGATGAATGTATGTAATAAAAAACAACTTTATTATTCAGTAATATAAATCTATTGAAATAAATTAGTGGTGCTTGAAATTGAACAAAGAAAACAATTTCTTGATCAAATGACATTACTTGGTAAACGAAAAGAATATCAACAAGTTATTTCAAATGAAATTTCTGATGTTAGTATTATTTATATTCATTAAAATATATTATGAAGTTTTTTTCTTTTTATGTTTTAAATATAGAAAATACGTGAAATGGAAGTAATTGATCGACAACGTTCAAAAGATTTAGAAAAACGTCTTAATGAACATCATCAATAAAGAAACTATGGAAATCAAAATTTATTTTTATTATATGTATATGATTAAATAAAATTTTCGTTTGATTCAATTTTTTTTACTGATCAAACAATAGAATTCTTATTAGAGTTGGATTTCATCAATTCATATTCAACATTAATAATGCAATATAAATTCATGATCACAACTGAGACTTCTTATATGAATTTTATTTAATTTTTTTTTCTGTTATTTGATAACAGAAAGTTATTTGAATTGAATATATATTTCCATTTAAGAATTCTTGACAATTAATTTTTATTCTTCATACTTTATTGAAGATATGAGGAAGATTAACATTGTTTTATTATTTATAATTATAGACAAAAGTTTTGCTACATAGTGAAACTATCTACAAATTGCTATAAAACTAATATGAATAACCAGCATCAATTGCTTTTTGATCAAAATCAGTATTCATTGCATATTGCTTGATGTTAATCAATAGTTTTAACATATAGACTTATCAGTGTAGTGGTTGTAAGAAATTATTTTTTGTCTTAACATTCATTAGGTACAAATTTCACATGTGGAGCTCAGATGAAAGTAGTTCATTGTGACATTATGATAAAGAAATATCGATACAAATATTGGAAACAATCGAACGACTTAAGTGATTTAACTTAATCTAGTTGACCACATATAACGACCCGAAAACAGAACTAACAAATTGTTTCTTTTGTTGAACAACAAATGTTCATCACAAGTCAAGACATCGTAGAGCCGCTGAAAAGGAAACGAGTCGTAATCAATGAAAGAACGGCACAAGAATCCTTGAACGAAACGCGAGTGAACATACAATCGATCTCTGTCCGTTGAAGCTATTGCTAAGTGATAGCTACGGAGAGAACCGCTTCATATGAATTGAAGATTACAAAGCTGTGCATTGGGACGAAGTGATCTTTTCTGATAAGATTAGCATTCGTCTGAATTTCATTAAAGCATTGGTCTGGAAGTTGTCAGAACTGTCATGAATCCTATCAAAGTCAATATTTGGGATTACTTCTCAAGTCAAGACCTCAATCGTATTGTTTGTTTCAGACAAAATTAAATTGTGGAACTAATGCGTAATATTTACAAGTGTATTTTCTTGCCCACAGCTCGAAAAGAAATCGACTAGAATTCGAGGTGATGGGAACGACAAAATAAAACGATTCCAAAGCATACGTTAAAACTACGGATCAGTTGGAAAATATATGATTAAATTTACAAAATTGAGTAGCCGTGAATATCAACCGATCTTAAACCAATCGAAAATGCACGACGACTCCTTAAGATAAAATGAAAAAGAGAAAAGAGCTTAAACGATTTGCTAATCTTTGGTTTCAGTAATAAAGCATGAATAGAAGTCTTTACTATTGTAGTTGATCATTAAAATTTTACATTTTATGAACAATCAATTAAAAATTACCGTTTAAGATTTTCGTTCGCCACTGTAAAAATAAAAATAATTTTTAAAAAGTGAATATGGTATTCTTTTAGATACGATAGTAGAAAAATTCTATTTATACTTTCGATTTTTATACAATTCATCATGTTTCCAGGTGCTTATATAAGAAATCAGAGTTGTTTTTTTTTCACAAAAACAATCAAAGAGAACATGAATGAATTATATTATTCAAGTGTCATAGAAAGTTTTTGTGTGAATAGCAATCTTGTTTATACCATTGTCATACATACTTTTTATTATTGATGCATATTTTCTTACAAGAGAAAAAAAAAAAAGAATCGTGTTACATGACAATAGAATCAAATGAAAAGGATCAAGTGTTTTGTTTTTTTTCAGTGACTATAAATATACATAGTATATTTGAAACATAAGAATGTCGAAAAAACAACTACGTAGCCTATTCATTCTATGATTAGTTGGTTAACTGTACGAAATATATAGATAACTTACTAAAATATTTTTAGTTTGTAGATTTCTTCTGACATTTCGTATACAAAATGAAAAAATATTATTAGGTTTATTTGTCAACATAGTTTTTTTATGGTATTTTTCTATGTTGGGAGGATGCATATATAGTTTGGACGAGAATAAAATTTTTTTATTTATTTACCATCAATCTCGTTTTTGTTGACTAACGAGAAATAGTTTCATCGAAGTTTGACAAAATTTTATTATTCATAATTTATTCTTTTGGGTACTATATAAAGAAAAGATAAGTAGTGATTGACTGTTATACTTGAGAAACGTATGAAAACAATAAGCACAAATGGTGTATAAATACCGAACAGGTGGATATGTTATAAATGATTAAACTTTTTTTTTTTTTTTTACTTTATTTTTTGCTTTGCATTGTACTTAGAAGTGTTTTTTATTTTGTGTTATGTATGAGGCTTAGATATATTTTTGATATTTATCAGACCAATAGCGTGCCATTAATTATTAGAAGAATTCGACTTGTATTCTTTTATTTTCATTATGTTTAATTTAAGACTGTTATCATATGAAGGGTTGGCTATTGAATAATAAAAGCTAATTGTGGATGAGTTTGAATTTGCATGTATTTTCACTGACGTATTATTTCTAATGAGATTAAATCTCATATTAGTGGATCAATAACCTGTCATATAAAAGTGAGCTAATATGTATTAACGATAAATATTCTATATAGATTGAATATAAATGCAAATATTATGATTAAAGAAAGCCTATAGAAAGGTGTGGATTAGGAACGAATAAGAACCATGAGTACTGTTTTCAAGGTAATTTTTAATAAATATTTTATAGGTGAATATTTGAATATTGTATGTTTTGATTAAATATAAATTATTCTTTAGTTCACATTTTTTTTCAACGTAATCTCCACAAGGTCATTGGTTTTTATGTTAGCTATCGTTTTAGACAAATAAGATTCAACTTTCATTTATTGATAAGTTAAACTACGATTTGATGGTGCACATAGGAAAAAAAGGAATATCAATCAATTATTTTATTAAATATTAATTTACAACTGAGTAAAAGTAGTATTCAGATCTGAAAAAATTTTTCGATATATGATTGAGGGACAAATATGTCCTTGTAACATATACAAATTATAACTATAAGTAATTGTTACATTGATGATAATTGAAATGCTCAGAGAATTAGTACGTGTTTTAATTTTTTTGCACTTAGACAGAAATGGGCAACTCCACTTCAATTTTGCATACTGATTGTCAGACTTCACTCGGACTCCGATATGAAAAAGCGACAACTTCGAAATTAACGTTTATGTTAAGTAAATCAACCACTGCTACATTTACATTAGATTAAGTCATATATATTGGTCTCATTCTTGTATTTATTTATGTTATGCTTTTTACTTTGTATTACTTCCGAGTTTGTTGAGTTAGAGGTATTGTTTAGTCTGAACGATGGATACGAACAAAAAATAAATTTTCTTTCATTTTGAAATACAGTAAATATTCGATGTAGGATATAGCATTGTCATTGTTCATGATACAAACTACGGCTTCAAACTCGATTCAGTTTCATGTGTTTTTATTTATTATTCTTCGTACTATTGCTATTATTTTTATATACAATAAATAAGGTATTCAATAATTTACGTATTGTCCTGGTAATAATAAGGTACATTTGATTACTATTTGTATGTTTAACAGTGATTATTATGTTGTCGACAAATATTTCATACTAGTCATCAAGGTTATTTTTGTCTAGTCTTGTAATAACTCAAAAACAAAATAAGGATTAAATTTATAACAAAGCATGTGAATACAAGAAGTCAGACGATTGTTTAAAATTGTCTATTAAACATATTGTTATGTTTCGTGCTTTCAACTTCGTATAGTAGAAACACTACAACTTGAATATTTATAATAAAATCTAACTTGAATTTCGAAAAATATCACCTGAAGCAGGAAAAGAATACTTTTCTGATTTAAGATATACAATTAATATTATTATTTAAGAAAATCCTAAATTAATATCGAGGTTCAAATGAAATGCATGCTATAAGTCATGAAATTTGATCTGCATAAAATAATGGATATCCATGAATCATGGAACGCATTTGACTCTAGGTATCATAATAAGAATTCTAAAAATTGATACTAATGCTGTGTCAAGGGTACAGTGCAAATCTTTGTTGGATGGATTATCATCATAGAAGATAGTGTTCAACGGTAAAATGATATGGTTCGTAAAGAATTCGAAAATACATGTTGGCAATGCATACAAATGGCCTATATATTATTTCATTAAAAAAACTAAAATGTTTATTTTTAAAACTTGCTTTTTAGACAAAAAATTACTCTTGATTGAAGAACTACATTTTTTTCTTCTGTATAGATTCTGTGCTTTAATATTCCTTCGTTATAATTCTAAATAAAAAAAACGCAGTAGATCACATAGAATACATTCAGACTTTCACAAACTCTACCGAATCTAAAGAACTACTTTTACGATATTAACAAATAAAAAAACATTCTCATGACTCATTAAATTAAAACTAAACAAATTTTAAGATTTTATTTAAAAATTTCAAATCTTCAAAATCATCTTTTCTTTCTATGCATTAATTTATTTCATTTTAATAAAAATCGATGACAAAACGAATCGAGAATTTATTGATGAAAGTCAAATCTATTTTTAGTCGATAATTTTTATTTGAATTGATTCCTTATTCAAAATAAATTTTATATGCGCCAATTTAACCAAGAAATCGATATTTAACATCATCCCAAAATGTTATAATAAAATTAATTGCATCATCAATAGTACGATTTAATTTTTCTTTTGTTTTATCAAATATATTAGATACTTGTTGTTCAAAAACATTCAATGAATCCTCAATATTCGATAAAGCACGCTTACGACCAATAAATTCCATTAAATCAAATCTATTAAAAATTGAAATAATTGTTTGTTTAATATTATCAATAAATAATTTTTTTAATTCTCCTAGAAGATGTTCAACTGCATTATATAATGTTTCTCTAATTGTTGGCATATTAAGTGAACTTCTACTATTCGTTTCAAATATCGTTGGAATAGTAGCAAAAAATTGTGATACTTGATTATTCCATTGTGTTGATATTGAATTTACTTCACCAAACAATTGTGAAACCCATGGTGCTGGTGTAGGTCCATTTGCACGAGTTAATTCATATGGTATATTTTGTGAAAGTTTGTCACCAAATTCAAAAACTAATTGAGTTAGTTGTTTTAGTGTATCTTGAAATATTGGATTCAAATAAATATATAATAATTGAGAAATCGAATCGACAATCGATGTAGATTTTATCGTTGATACTGATGAAGCAAAAGTTAGAGTGAAAAAAGTCACGAAATAGATAAGAGTTAATTTCATTTTGGAAATTTTGTCTAGTTTTTCTTGATTGAATTGAATAGAAACAATTATATTTGTGTATTTTCGTTTCTTTTATAGATTTAGAAAAAGAAGGGTGTGAGAATAATAACAGATGGATTAATTTTGATGTCATAGTGCAAAATTTTCTCATTCAAAAACAAAATGTACTTTAGATTTACTAAAAAAACATAGACTGATTAAAATGAAAAGCAAATTCCTCGATTATTTAATATGTGTATAGATACGTTTTGTTTTCGTATACCACGTGGATTTTGCATATATTTTTATCTATTATATTTATCTAGTAAGTCATAAATGGATTGTATCATTCTTATTTAAACATAAATCTTTTAATATTGGTTATCTTTGGATATTATAACCAGCAAATAAGAGTCATATGACTATAATAATTAAAAATGCTAATGTATTGATGATACATATGACTTTGGGTACATTTTTGTTTTAGTCACATCTTCTTCATACTAATTGATGTGTTTTACACACACCATACTGTGTCAAGATTAGGATGCTGTGATTAAAGTAAAAAATATTGCTGATTTTGTATTGTTATGATAATTCTCGGATATTAGAAAATCATCATTTTATAAATTTTCGCTTTTTTTTTCTCTTTTTCAGAAAAATAAGACGAATAGTATTTGCTACGTGATAAAATTTAGTTAGAATAACCTTGTTAGATCAATTTTTTTGGTAAAATATTTGATAATTTTATGAATAACATTCTTTAGTACATAGCTAGTAAACATAATCAATTTTTTTAGTTTCTTCAAGATTTATCTAACGATTGATCAAAATGTAATTCGACAAAATATCTAATCATTTTTCTTAAGGAGACTACAGAAATATGAAAATATTGGATTAGAATCAAGGTTTTATCTTCTTGGTGATTACGGATTCAAAATTTGTATTTGATTGCTAGTTTAGGAGTTGTGAGTTGACCTTTTAGAGACACGAAAATTAAGTTTGGAGGGAGAAAACCACTTTTTTTTTGTCTTCTAGCCTCTTTTACCGCATACATTATATTATCGATTTCTTTTGCTTAGAATAAAACGCAAGATTGTTCTATTCAAAGTGATACAATAATTAAAAGCTTCTGAAATACCCAATATCACTTTGCAAATTTGTTTTCCTTGAAAATCGAGAAGACTCCCTAAATTGACACGATGTTGCTTACCAAAATACTTGCCGTTAACAAATGTCTTAGAGCTAATTAATCATTATTGTACTATTTTATCAGCAAATATTTGCTCTTTCATTCGTTGTATTTGAAATAATTTTCTTTTGTACTGTGGGTAATTTCAGACACGATAAAGTTCATCCAAGCTTAATTTATGAACCACTAAAATGTCAGTTCATAACTTCTAAACCAAATATCCTACAAAAATTTTCAGTGCAGACTACTAAAAAAAGTCTGAAAATCATTATAAAATAGATAGAAATTTAAATATTTATTGATGTTACAATTTTTCAGTCAATAAATACTTGTTAACAATTCACCAATATGAATAATATTTAGTATATTTTCAACGAGTTTTAAATTGATTTAAGAAATATTATAAATTTTCTCATTTTTATATACAAACGAAAAGATTAATTATTGACATTCGAAATAAAAGAATTTATTGTTAAATGTGAATTGATTTACAACGAAATCAGATATCTCATATTTATTCATTCAGATAATTCCATATAATAATTTTCAAATGATTGACTAATTTAGTCAAGTTATGGTAATGATTGAAGATGAGATCTCCGGTTTCGGTTGACACATATTATTAATTATTCGTTAGTCAAGTTACAACAATTGACTTGAGGCAAAAAATAAATGTCTCGCTCGTTGAAATGATCGAACCGGAAATGAATGAACTCGTGATTCTCGGTCTATTTCCGGATTTATTATATATACTTAACTAGTCATTCTCGGATGTTGAACTATTGTAAATGCATGATGTTCGATTAGAATCAAATTTGAAAATATTAATCTAACAATCAAATATGATAAATCAAGGAAAAAAAGTGTTGTTTTCTTCTGTTAATAATTTATAGATTAGATAAAATTCCTCTTGTTTCATTCGACAGAATAGAACAAATAAGTTTTATAATATGAAGTTTGTTTGTTTCGTATAGAATTTCATACTAAACAAATGAATTGATAACAAAAATTTTTTATGTTGATAAATAATTAAAAAAAAAAGGGAAATTCTCAAACATAGACAGTATTTTCATCAAATCCCTAAATAAGTTTTTTCTTTCTCTTTTTTTTTCTATTCATGTTTAACTTTTTTTTTCTTTGTATTTTCTATATCTTCTTATATGAAATAATTGAAGTGGAAGTTTTATTTATTCAATTATTTAATCTTCTTTAAACGATAATTTCCATTCTATCCGATTTGTTAATAACACTCATGTCGCGTTTCTTGTATTGCATCGAAACGACTTTTCTAAAGAAAAAAAAAAAAAGGACACGTCTATATTTAATTATCACTTTTCTTCATGAATAATGTCAAATAAATTTCAAGAAAAATAGAGAAGATTAACATCAAAAAATCCAACAGTATATGTATATAAGATATGTTTATATATAGTGATTATATCTTGCTTGTTGTGTCTTTCTATGTATACAATGAAGAAGAACAAAAAGAAAAAACCAAGAACGACTAATCTATCTGATTTATTGATCTGTTGAGAGGGCGGAAAAGCATCATTGCTTTAGTACTACATACGAGGGTAGTACATTGCGTGACCTCGATTCGTGGGTTGTGCGCGATTGAAAATGGTTCATTATCGGCATGCATTTTTTTTCTTCTATTTCTTTTTCTTTTTTTTTTCTGACTGCTGTGAGTATGCGTTAGCTAGTTGTTATTGTGTGTGTTGAATTTAGAGCTATGTTGTATATAGGCGCGCAACGATGCGACGGCTTCATCTGTAATCATGTTGTATGTGCGTGTTGATTCATGTGATTTTCATTTCTTCCTTCCACTTGTTAGGATATGTTTTGAATGAATGAGTGAATGAATGAATGAATGAAGAAAAAAAATTTTTTTTTTAGGTAAAAATGTAAAAGAGAATAACAAAAAGAGATTATTATTGTTTTCTTTGTTTTTTTTCTTATGTCTTCAAAAGAAAGAAAATTAAAAAAAGAAAATGATTGTTTTCTTTTCTCGTTTAAAAGAAAATATATGTGTAGTTTTTATATTTGCATGGCTTGATTGAACTGTGTATTTTTTTCGTATATAAAACTCTCGGAAGGAAGAAGTTGATTTCTTCTATGAACCGACAATAGTCATTGAAATAAGAAGCCTTTACTAGCTTTTATTGTGCACTTTTTTCTTTCTGTTGTCATTGTCATGTACGTGATCTATCTGTTTCTTTTGCTTTTCTATTGCATGTCATCATCATCATTGTCATCATCATCATCATCACATGCCACATATATACACGCCGACAGACTGACTCATTATTTGAGTGAATGTTAATCATTTTCATCTTGGTCATCGCCACAGGCGGTAGTCATTCGGTCGGTAGGAGTGAAACTATAATACATATATGTCTATGTAGCTTTCATATTCTGTTCAAATTGTATAGATGTTTAATCGTCATCATCGTTTTCTTCACCTGTTCATCTGTCGTTCATTCAAACTGACGTAAGCGAAGAAAGAGCATATTTTGGCCCGATTATCTTTTTTTCTTATTCTCTCTTGGTGGCCCTCATCGTTCTTAACCATACTTCACTTTCTCCTTTCTCTTTCGCACGCCGCATGCAAAACGATAAGATCAATCACGAGGACGACGAGTCGTTTTTTTCTCTTTATGTTGTATGTTACTGCTACTACTGTTTACAGTTGCTCTCATCATTAGAGTTACTAATCAAACACAGTTGAATGCGCTTTTTATAATCGCTATATAAAGGTGTGTTTGTATATTTAACTCGAGGGCAAATTAGAAAAAATATAGATTGTGATACTATTGATTAATAACAGTTAGTCACTATACAACAAGTCCTATTCGATTTGTGTCATTTCGTTAGAAAAGAGACGATGATCAAATATTCTATTAGATGACGAGAAAGAGGGAGAGACAGGAGGAGAGAGAGAGAGAGACAACAACTCTCTCGGGAATCAGAAAGAGAACAGAAAAGCAGTAACACACAGCAGTAGCAATTAACTTTGCATTTCCAGTGAGCGCTCTCGTGCGTTCTTTTCTCTTTTACTCGTCGTGAACAGTGTATATGTGTGTTGTTACGAGCTGCACTTCTTGATCAGATTCAATTGTTTGACAGCGACGAGCAGTTTACTTTGTCTTCTCATTTTTTTTTTTTCTTCTTCTTTTTACTCTCGTGTGCAAAGATCATATTATCTCGCACGCACATACTTGTAAATAGACACATACAGTAAGACTATAGATTAGCATTGACTGCGGTGCTCGTTTCCGTCGATCATCATCATTCAAACATAGACACATAACATACATTGAAGATCTTTTTCTGTTTTTCCTTTTCTTTTTCTTCGTCATTTCCTTCATTTTATAATTGTTAAACTTAATGAGTTACCATATTATAACACTTTCCCAAGAGGAAAAAGTGTAGAAAACAGGATAAAACTTGTAGTATGTTGTCGGTCGTTATTCGTTCAGCCGTCATCATTCGCCTGTTCTCGTTTGATTAATTGCAATGAAAAGCACATCTTTCTGTTTCTTCTCCTTCCCATCACATATGCACGCATAGCTCATATTTCATCAAATCCTCGTTTATCCACATAAATGGAGTTCTCTCTTTCTTTCTCTTTCCGTTTCATGTCATAAAAGCGACGACGAACAAACGCTCTATTGCTTTCTCTCTCCCTCTCTCTCTCTCTCTCTCCTCTCTCCTCTCTCTGTTTCTCTTTCTCTTTGTCTCTCTCCGTTTTCTCGTTTGTAGATGTAACATGATAGGGGTGACTGAGAGAAAATAGATGAGAGGAGGACGACAACGATGACAAGATATC